TCCACTGTATTTACATTTTACCCTTTTTTTAGATCATACTTTCCCACTTGGAAATGTGTGTGTGGATGTCAGAGTAAATACATGTAGAATGATAATTTTTATTAAAAAATGACAACATGAAAGAAACTAATAACACATCATTTAACGTTCAATTTTGTGTGTAAATGCAAACAATTTATTTAAACTTTCAAAGAAGACTCAATTATCTGAAGCTTCTTAAGGATGTAAGTCTTCTCCAGTTGGAGAAGTTGCATCCTGGCCTTGTGCTCCTCTTCTTTCTGCTATCGCTCTTCCTCCATGTTGTGCAGCTTGGTCTCGTGCTCTTTTTTGCCCCACTCTCTTATGGCATCGTGGACAACAGTCTGTGTAGGAGTCTGTGGTGGTATAGCATACCTGCCAACCACCCCGATTTAGGTGGAGTTCCTCCGCATTTTTCATACCAACTCCGAATTCCGAGTGCATGCCTCAAAACTCAGATTTTTAAAAATTTAAAAATATTTTTAAAACAAACGACTGTTGCATAAGACTAAAGCATAACACAGCACTGATAACCAGATCACGCCGACATCCGCGCTCGCGCTCATAGAAGATATACACAGCGCAGCCCGAACGTGATCGTTAGTTCCGTGTACTGCAGTCATTATCCATGTACTGCATGTACTAGTACATGGAAGCACATGCGCAAGCTATATCGATAAAGTGTGTGCGGACGTTGTACTAATACATACACTACATGCAGCGTTGTTGCATAGTAACTGCATGCGTATAGCCCACGTGTATTTATATTACATGTGCAGTTGATACACCGTGCATAAACACTGTATACATTGGCGTGTTTTCTTCAATGGTTGTGCGATGACTGCGATCGTGGAAGCTTGTTATTTACCAGACTTCCTCGGATTTATTTTGGATTACTACTACTATATACCTTTGCAAAATAGGGCTCCTAACTGAGGTGGGTAGTGAAACATGTAGTTTTGTGAGTGTTCACATTTTGATATTTCAAAAATTGTTTATGTGTGGGGCGAAAAGGTTGAAGGAAAAGGCCCATTTGCACCATTGAAATGGAGAGAAAAAAAAATAGACCCTAAAGTCCTGTGTACCCCCCCCCCCCCCCCCCCCCAATCTACGGGCCACTACCCCAATCCTTCGGTGGTTCGTGACCTCGTAGTCCATCCAGAAAAATTTACTCCTAATATCTCTTGTCTCAGGTTGGCAGGTATGGTATAGGGGAAGGACTGCCACGAAATCTCTTGGATGGGGTTGACCTGTGAATTAAACAGATAAAAATGAAATAGGATTTGTCCATTAACATTTAAATCAAGAGGATTAGCCAATCGATACATATCCACATTTATTTTGGTTAATAAGACCCTGCCATTGGCATGCATGAAATGATGTATACATGTATTCATTACAATGAGGATACAACATTATCATTATTGTAAATATGACAATATGGATTGTGCTAACATTATTTCTACATTATTACATTAAGATATTTTAGGGCGAGGTAGTTGTGTGACTTTGGTGCATTATTCAATCAATTTCTGAGAAATGAAATACCCCATATACTGTGAGTGTGAACACACCTATCGACTGAGATGAAGTGAGATGTGACTGCTTGTGGATGGAGTGGCATCGGCCTGCTGGGCAGTGACAGGGTACAGAGTAGGTACAGGTGGGGGATGACGACTTGCCTCCAGGGCTAGGGGAGCCTTAGCTCCTTCAGATGGTTGATCGAGAGAGTCCAAACTGTATATAAAGTGAACAAATTAAACAGCACTAAATAATCATTTTTTGTTTAACCATGTCAATTATAGAATTAAACCCTCCCATTTATGGTAGACAAAAAAAAAGTTTAGCAAGGCTGCATTCGAGCTCACTCAAAACTCGCACCCATGCGCACCAACACACACACACACACGTACACTCATTCACGGGTAAAACTCTATTTGGAAACTTATGAAAGGTTTGTTTACTTCAGCGATGGGCGTTTCTCCCCGGCGATGAAGAGTTCTGCCGTCACGTCTTCGGGGTTGTTCCCCGTGATGTAGCAGTCGTCGTCAAACGGATTCCTTATTTCGCTGAACTCTGTGGGCACGAGACGTTTGACCTACTTCGCCATCATGGACGGCTCGGCTGGCGGCGGACCTCCGCCCGTCTTCCCCGTTTGCGATCTGAAAGATGACCATCCTGCCTTCGCCTGCAGCTTCATCCGCCGCCACTGGTCTTTGAGCTCCCTCTCATCTCTTTTCTCGCCGTATCTAATAACAATACAACAAATAAAGCCGTTGTTTATATATGATGGCATCCACTAATAATTATGAGTAGCTGCTGCAAATTAGCCTAGATTATTATATTCATGCAGAACCGCAATTGAATTTAACAATGTTATTAAATGTTTGATCTAGTCGATTAAATTTTAGTAACATTAGTAGTTCATATCATGACATACCTTGAAGAGAAGTCCGCCAAGATCCTATTCCAAGCCACTTTCTTCGCTGACGTAGCTGAATAATTATTGTTTTTTACTTCAACTACCTCGATGATTCCATCGCCAGCCAAGAGACTTAGCAGATGGGATTTCTCTGCAGCATCCCAATTTGCCTTTCTTTTCACATTTTTACCGTCCATTTTACTATCAAGGTCTCATTGTTAATTAATGAGTAATTGACGCACTGATATAGTTTGTATTGAGCGCCAGTAATCACGATCATATATCACTGCACTAGCACCGTGCGGGTAAAATTTTTTTTATCCGGTGCGCGCACGCATGCGCACCCGGTCTATCGTCTGCAGGAATGTCAGAATGAACGCCTACTGGGCATGCGCAGAAGTCGCGACTTAAGTTAAACACGGCCTGCGCAGAACTTAAACAGTTGTTTAGTTAAACACCACTTAGACAGGACTTAAAGGCCCACTTGTAGCTACTTGCGCCCTCTATATAAAAAACAATGCCTAATCGGTGACCATGGGTCCCCCATGATCCTCTTTTTCTTATGTTAACTAAGAGCTGAGTTGATGAGATAACCACCTGTCCAGTGACCTTGCAGAGCGCTCTAATCCCTCCTGTAAACTACGGCAGATAAGCTTTAAACAGTTGTTTAGGTAGACGGGACTTAGACACGACTTCAGAATAAGAAATTTAGTTAGGCAGGACTTAGACACGACCTCGTGTCTAAGTCCTGTCTAAGTCGTGTCTAACTAAACAGTTGTTTAACTTTAGACGTGGCTAAGTTAGACACGACTTCAGAATACGGGCTATGTTTATCGGGTTGTCCGTCTGTACACGTACGTACATCCCGTTCTCGTGATCGCGTTATCTCAAGAACTGATTGATGGATTCCTGCCAAACTTGGGTCATGTACATGTATGTATCTTGCAGAGTCAATGAACTGAGTAGATTTTGGGGTCTCGAGGTCAAAGATCACAGGGCTCATGTATGCAAAATAGCTTGTAAAAGCATCATCATTGGAAACGACAGATGGATTCCTATCAAAGTCAGGGCATGTATGTATCTTTCAGGGCCATGTATATGAAAAAGAGCTTGTAATCACGACATTCTGAGAAACTTGAATTTCAAATATTAGCTCAGTTTTGGTTTGTAAAATTGCTATATGACGGAGGCATCATGTTCGACTGGGCGCAGTTGAAGATCCATCTAGTTCCTATTGTATTCTGGAATTCTACATTAATAGAAACAGTTATTTAAATATGATAATCTGTTCCACCGTTGATTCTAGTCTTTTTATGCCTCCATTACGAAGTAGCCTGAGGCATTATGTTTTCGGGTTGTCCGTCCGTCCGTACGTCCCGATCTAGTGATCGCGTTATCTCAAGAAGTAATTGATGGATTCCTGCCAAACTTTGGTCATGTATGTATCTTGCAGAGCCAATGAACTGATTAGATTCTGGGGTCACAAGGTCAAAGGTCACAGGGCTCATTATGTATGCAAAAACAGCTTGCGATCACGTTGTCTCAAGAACTGATTGATGGATTCCTGCCAAACTTTGGTCATGTATGTATCTTGCAGAGCCGATGAACTGATTATATTTTGGGGTCACGAGGTCAAAGGTCACAGGGCTCATTATGTATGCAAAAACAGCTCGTGATCACATTATCTCAAGAATCGATTGATGGATTCCTGCCAAACTTAGGTCATGTATGTTACTTGCAGAGTCGATGAACTGAATAGATTTTGGGGTCATGAGGTCAAGGTCAAAGGTCATGCAGCTCATTATGTATGCAAAAATAGCTTGTGATCGCATTATAATTAGAACAGATTGATGGATTCCTGCCAAACTTAGATCATGTATGTATGTTGCAGAGACAATGAACTGAGTAGATTCTTGGGTCATGAGGTCAAAGGTTAAATGTCATGGGCTCATTATGTATGCAAAAATAGCTTGTGAACACATTCTCATTAGAAATGACAGATGGATTACTATTTAACTCAGGACATCTGGCAGAGCCAATGAACTGAGTAGATTTTAGGGTCATGAGGTCAAAGATCAAAGGGTCATATAATGTATGTATATGAGAAATTACTTGTAATCATGATATTCTGAGAACCTGTTAATGGATTACAATGAAACTTGAATTTGAAAAATTTCTTCTGTTTTGTTTTGTAAAATTGCTCTATGACGGAGGCATCATTTTCGACTGCGCGCAGTCAAAGTTCCATCTAGTTCTTCTTCAGTTAGAGTCACTTTGTATTCAGAATTTGTACCTATAATGCAATAGTGCACAAATTTTTGCATTGAATGAATCAAATGACCGGGTAATACAAATATTTGTAAAGCACTTAGAGATGGTATTCTAGATTTATTTGTCATTATTATTGTAATACAAATGCAAATTTGAAAACGATAATCAAACAGTACGAGTTTTCAACTACCTGTAGTTATTCTTACTGGTCAGTAATAGAACATTGAGCTTGACTTTGATAATAAGTACTAGTATTGATTCATATTTTCTTTGTTTGTTTTTCCATTAGGGTCACTTTGTATTCTGAATTTTTACCATCCAAGGTCAGAGGACTGTGTGTTACATTCATTGAGGTGAGATATGGAATACAGTTGACCTAGCACAAATTGACATTGCATGTGTCAAATAACCTCTTAACCCTACATGTATATAGCCCGGGGTAGGCTTTAAAAGCCCCTCCCCCCCCCCCCCCCTCTACATTTTTTGCGATAATTTTTTTAACGCCAATGAATTTTGCACTGAAATTTTATGACTTTCTTTTCTTTCGAGTCTTGTGCATCTTTTGATATAAATTTTTCGAAAATCAAACCTACCGTTATAAAGTCATGTGACCTTTTGTCTTTGCATGTCAGCCCGAAAATCACTCATTTTTGTGATTTGTGTACAAAACATGGAAATCTCATTTTTCCCTAAAAGAGATAAAACATTGGTTATTTGGTCTTGTTTATAATTTAGGTGTATATTTTGGGGTTCAAAATAGTTGGATTATAGTTAAAATTAAAACAACATAAACAATAAAATACGCACCGGTAAATTTAAAAAACAAAGAAATACATAAGAAATTATCAAACCAGTAGAAAACAATAGGAATAACCTGGCTCTTCCAATTTTTTAAAAATTATTATTATCCCAAATGGTCTAAAAAATATATGTAGTGAAAACTAATAATAAAAATGTGAATTGCATTACGCTATTAGAATAAATTACCATAAATATGCAAATGAGTGAATTTGTCATAAAAATTTAAATTACCACTCCTCTGTTCTTCTCTCTTGCTCGTACCCGCCTCTCTAACCACTCATCCCTGATCTCTGCCATATGATATTGAAAAGGATTTCATAAAATGAACGAAAACAACTTAACACAGAACAAATCAACAAACTACCAAAATATTTCAAAGATAGTAATGGAATACTAGTAAATAAAACTTAAAGAACATTGACTTGTAAATAAAAAAAAGAAACACTTCATACTTGCATACATATATGCACACTTGTTTGTTGGGAATGAGCAATGCCCATATCATCAATTTGCCATTAATTGGGATCAGAGGTCCGGAATAGACCACCACTGCACACACCAACTTGTCCATTCATGTTTTTGATTTCATGTACTAAAATGGTAAGAAGCTCATCAGTACTTCCAGGTATGAGCGTCACCTTGTGGTGACTAGCGAACAATTGAAATTCATAATTATGGCAGTAATAAAAATAAGAGGGAGAGAGGGGTGATCTATGTGACCTGGGGGGTGTTTCATAAAGCTGTTCGTAAAGTTATGCATGACTTTACGAATGACTTGTATATGAAGTGCCAGATAGGATGCCCAAAGTTTTTCCTGATGTTTCCAATAACCTTAATTAAATTATGGCAAAAAACATACTTTGCATTAAAAATGTTTGTCATAATTAGAATGTTAATCTACATCTGCACAGTTCGACTTTAGTTGATGCAGTTAATAATGATTAAGCACCCCATTTGGCTTTTCATATACAAGTTGTTTGTAAAGTCATGCGTAACTTTACGAACAGCTTTATGAAACACCCCCCGGGATTTCTTTTTTTTTAATGTCCATATAAGTATTTTATAGGCAAAAAACAGGGTGAGAGTATGTAGGTATGAAAGGGCCCTTCTAATCAAAACAGGCTTAAAATTGAAAAAAAGACGTGGAATAATTTTTGACGGAGATTCCGAATATGACAATGACTTTTCTTAAAAATCATCAATAATTCTGGAATCTAGCTTTAAAAATAACGACTCAGACCGCTCAGAAAAAAAGCCCAGTTTCGGAGCTGTATTGCGCAATAGCATATAACGTCACTGCAGGAGACAACATTGGCATTATAACACAACATGACATTGTACTTGAATGGAGATACCCTACTATAAGTTCTATAACATACCAAAAATCTACTAAATTTTCAACAATTGTTCAAATAATGGTCATGATTTAAAAGTTGTTACCTTTCTAACCTTTCTGTTTCGTGTCAATTTTCTTACCGGTATATTTTTCCTAAAAATGAACACATTTGTGCATGTATACTAATGCCTTTATTTTTAGGAAAAATACTCCAAAACAGATGAGATAATTGACACGAAAAACAGGTAAGAAAGATAACAACTATTACATGTAGATCATGACCATTATTTGAACAATTGTGGGGATTTAGTTGATATTTGACCGATAAACACATACCCATGTCACTAAGAAGATGAATGTTCAACCAATGCATTCTAATAACTATGACATATGGATCAGAAACATGGTCACTGACAAAGGATCTAGAACAGAAGCTTGTGACTACTCAACGAGCTATGGAGAGAAAGATTTTACATTTATCTCTGCGAGACAAAATCAATCACAAAGTCATACGCCAGAAAACAAAGGTTAAAGACATCATGGAGAAAGTCAGGGAATCAAAGTGGAGATTGGCTGGGCATGTAGCAAGACTTCAGGACAATAGATGGACAAAATCGTTTAACAGAATGGCAACAGATGTCCAACGTCTGGATGAACTATTATATTATTAATGACTGCTTTGAGAGAAATAGTTGTTTTTATACGCTCAAGGGAAGGTTACAATTGTGCTATTGCCCGAGGCGTGCCAAGGGCAATAGCCCAATTGTAACTTTCCCGAATCTCTGGTAATTAAAACATTGACCAATTTAGCATGAGTGCGCAATGGCCAATGCCTAGGGATGTGTGCAATCTCTACGGGAAGGATTTTAGCACTAGGCCTACTAGATCTATTTTGAAAAAAAAATTATGGAGAATTTCACATACCCTTTTTGGTGTTCTTGCTGTCAGCAAGTCTTGCATTTGATCATCATCAAGAAGTTGAAATCTTGGGAGAGTTTCTTCAGCCATTTTTGCCTTGTTTGGAATTCAGTACGATCGAGATTGCCGTATTAAAAATGCCGACCAATTCTTTGCACACGTACGGTATCCTCGATCGCTCAAACCAGTTTTTAACATGTGAACCTATGGGTATTTCACCAAGACTGAACTATTTTTCAGGTAACTGGAATTTTACCGGGAATTTTACACGAATAGTTTAAATAGTTCAACCAATCAGATGGCTGGATTTCTTAATTGAGGTATATAAAGCCCGATAGATAGATTGATAGATAGTTGATATTTGGTATGTTATGTAGGGTACTGTATTTCCACGCCGGTGTCACGGGTCGAAAATATGGTCACACACTACAGTTCTGAAGAAGCGCTCAAAATTGACTACAGTAACATCAAACCCTATGGCCCAAATTCACAAAGGAGGTCTGTAGCCAAACCTAGGTTAATGTGCCTTGTTTTTGAGGCGTATCAGACCAAGGTTTGTCTGAACCTTGGTCTGAAACGCATCAAAATGCATCATATGACGCTCATAAACCTAGGTTTGTCGACAAACCTCCATTGTGAATTTGGGCCTATCAGTTCGAGCAAGAGCTCAACAAGGCGTCTGAGGCTGAAGCAGAAGCAGACTGGTAGATCTAGACCTTATGTAAATTGTCACCTGACTGAGACTGAAAAAATATGAACCAGATCTAACGTTAGTCTAGACTAAACCACTCGTACCCCAGTTCAGGCACATGTACAGTGAAATTGAAATTGCATATCGGAGCAGTGGCGGATCCAGGGGAGGGCCCGGGGGACTGACTCAGGCCCCACCCCTGGGAAAAAAATACAATTAAAAACACGTTAATATTACCTTTTTTTTTTAGATGGGCTGCCTCCCCTGGCCCTCAAGGGGGGGGGGGGGGGGGGAGTGCAATTTTTCAAATTTTCGAGGGCCACAAAAAAACAAAAAAAATTAGTGCTCCTTACCCCCCCCCCCCTGACTATTTTGCCACTCAATATTCTCTCATGAATTGGGCCCCCTTCCCTGCCGCCGATCAGCCCCTGCGGAGTGACAACGAGCGGTCTAAACTGAAACTCGGGTCCTAACAGTTAGTATTCTAAGTGGATAATTATCCTCAATTTTTTCATTTTCTCAGCTGCAGTCCTCATAGTCTTCTCCTTTTCTGCATGATTTGATTGTATCGGCAGATTCCAGCAATAGAATTGAAAAAACAAACTAAGCCATAAGCGTAAAAGCACGAATGCCAAAAAATTATGATAAAAGTAAACACTGTGGACTCTTTGCCCACTCGTTTGAAAGTTTGTGTTCTAAAGGAAACTGACGCCAGGCTGACAGGAACACGCACGCAAAATAATGAAAGGACTATGGTATGAGTCTAGAGCTGCGAAAAGCGTCTGCTCGCGTCTTCTTGGTGAAAAGGAGGGTGATTTAGGCATTGAAATGTCTTTAAAAAAGGCAAACTATGATATTAATTGGGAAAAAAAAGAGACATTTATTTGAAAAATAATATACACTTAATAATCTCAGAACGTTGCTGGCCATTTCGTCATTCCTAATTATGAATTACAATGAGATTCCTTAGTTGTAGGACAAAGACATTCCTGCAATGACGTCATATGCGTCATCAAGCCACGTGACCGTATTTACCTTTTTTCCAGGGAAGGAGCTTAGCAAGCGTGAGATCTATGAAAAATGGATGGTTATTTTATTTTTTTGGTCAGTATAGAGCTTTTCTGAAAAATCTTAGGCTGCAATATTAATAAGTAGAGGTGTATTCAAGTTTAGAAAGGCTAAGTTAGTTGGGTTAGAGGGGCCCTTTAAGGTATTTTTTAAATGTCAGTGAGAGAAATCATATTTCTATGACTTACGCCAAAGTAAAATATTGCCTATTAAGTCAATGCATTTGGTAGAAATTTGAGGAAAAGGGTTTCCTTTGAAACAGAAAGTATACTCATTTGCCGTTCATCATTACTGGATCAATCTTGTGGAATGCTTTTATAATTTAGTCAGATATGGAATTAGGTTATTACAGAGTAAAGATTCCTTTATTAAATTATCCATGTGTTCTTGCATGTTTCTACCCAGAACACATTGAGATGATTTTGCGTTTATTTTTGATAGACATTTCCTTTGATAGATTTTATATTTATCTGTATTCATTAAAAAAAATTGTGAGCTTCTATTACAGTCAGTGATTCACAATATTTATGATGTGTGACTCTGTAAAGAATATTTGTCTTTCATATGATAAAATGTAGAATTTTTGTAATTTTACATTTCTGGAACAGATCTTTTGGGCCCTTGGTACCATCTTTGAGGTGTGCTTAGCTCTTATAGTCATGCCCACTCTAGGATGGAACTATCTTCTGTTATTCTCATCTATTCCTATGCTAATCTTTATCATATTATGCAAGGTAAGTTCATTCTCACATTCTTATCTATTCATGTGTATTGCTATTGAGACTGTATATATAGGTAACAACCAAATTGTTTGTACCCTTATACCAATTTTTGTAATTTGTTAAGTGTATGAAAAATTGATATATCCCAATTTATGTTTCTTGAGAATGTGACGTATAAAAGCTTACCGGTACATCTAAAAGTATTCAACAAAGGCCCTAATTCAACCAGTCCTCCTTTCATTCTTGACTTACGAAAAAAGAAACCACATCAAATTTACAAGGGGTATGAATAATAAAGAATGGATGTTAACTGTACATGTACATGTACTTTACAGGTTTATGAAATATTGATTCCCTCTAGATGTATGGGAGATCTACTTTTTAAAGTTTTTTTAATATTCAAAATGCCATCTGCTGCTCTGTATCAAAGAGAGGGAGGGAGGAAGGGAGGGAGAGAAGAAGAGAGACCCAGATGTCTGTTTATTGCATGTTGTTAAAGGTAAAGACCAGTTTTGGAAACGCCCCCCTCTCAAAATAATGAAATGGGAGCTCTTATGACCAATCATGTGAAAGCAAATGTTTTGACTAATACGTGATGATACAAATTTTGCCGAGAAACCACCTATTAATTGATATATTTGGTAAATTATTATATCTATTTGGACCTGATAGATATCGTGCACGTGTCGCGTAGTTCCATATACATCTTTCTATGTACAGTGCTTGTAACTTTACCAAGACTGGGCCAAATTTCTTATCATTTTGATGATTCCATAACCTTGCAGTACACACCAATACTTATATGCTAGATGATCAACCTTTTCTGATCGATTCCACAACGTTTCTTTCACAATGCAATCATATGACCATAACTGGTCTTTATCTTTAAGGTTTTTGTTTGGAAGCTTTATTGATGTGTTTTGTTTTACATTGGGAAATACACAAGTAATGTTGCAATGTTTGGCTTACAGATCACTTAAAAGATTATTTTTGTTTTTCTGCAATTTGATGTACAACAAACCATTCTTACGTAGAATTTTAGATTTAATGTCTCCACGTTTATGAACAGTTTCCTCCTGTATAATGTTGGTGCAAACTGAAATCTATTTATCTATATACTTGATATAAATCAAGTTTTTGAGCTTGATGTCATTGAAATAATTTTTTTTCAGTGGTTACCAGAGAGTGCTAGATACCAGGTGGCATGTGGAAATCAACAAAAGGCACATGAAATCCTCAAGACTGTTGCTCTAGCAAACAACAAACCCATGCCACTTGGGAAACTACGATGTGGAGATGTGCAGGTCAGTGGTGTTATCTTTTCATTCAGACGAGTTGTGGATACATGTAAGTCTCATGACAGTAAACCACATGGTACACGGTTTCAATACCTGCTGCAGGGATACTAACGCCTTTTGGCAATACATTAATCTTCATTTTGTTCACTTGACCCAGGTGTAGGAAGTGGGTACCTGGTAGGATTTATTCCTTAAATGCACTTACTGCTACGGTTGCCAGAGCTGAAGCCAGCGTAAAAATATCCAAACTCCTTTAGAAGTGCATCAAACATTATATCATAATGTGATATGCCCTCTATTCAAGAATGGATTATTGTTATTCATTTTCAAGTTAATCCACTTCACAAAATACATGTATTTGTATAAAGTCACCGTAAAAACTGAATGCAATTTCCATTATAAACCCCTCAAAATAAGTTTTGAAAATCAAGTATGATCAAGTATATCTCTCTTGTCCTGGCATAATCATCACTACGTGTAGTACAAATAAATTGAAGCTCATCTGGCAACTATTTTCTATTTGACCAATGGCGGCTTCAGGGGGCACCCTTCTTGACATCCAATCAATTGATTAACATAATAATCACATTCTCTGGACCTGTAAACCCCATAACCATAGAAATCTTGTTATTTCATTTGACCATGAATTCCAATGACCGCTGGGGCCCCCTATCAAATCAATAAAATAACATTAGAAGTAGATTATCTATAACTCTAAAACCCATGATTGACAAAATGTCATTATTCTAGCCCTTATACAACCTTAAATACTGTTTTGCATGCGCACTAAAGATAAAATCCACACATGCCTAGCTTTGCGAAAAATCTAATAAACGGTCAAAAATATGCTTATGGTTAAGAATCCTTGAACCACCAAATATATTTTCATATTCAGATAGATTATGAGTTGTAGATACAATTTCATGTCTCATATGACCATACTTTTTATTGAGATGCCTTTCAAAGTCAGAAATGTAGATTTCAATTGATTGCATTATATTTGACTATGTTTTTTATATATCTTTTGATGCTCATCGGACTGTATCATTCAATGCCAATTTCCCCCCAGAATTGTAGTGTGTTGTAGCTGAGAGTATACTCAAGAAGAGGTAGACATATACTTTTAAATTGGATGACAAAAACAGAGTGAAAGTCAAAATCTGCTATGTGAGAAAAACATGCACAACCTGTAAATGGTCAATTTATCTTTAAAAAACATTCGCAATAAAAATATTTCTTGCGGGATGATTTTCAAACTTTATATAAAGTGTCCAATTAAAGATATGTTGTTGTTTAAGTTTTTAGGCATGTATCGTTCAATTTTGAATATCTATGCCAGTTTCCTGATACATTAGTCTCATACCCAGACCTCATGTGGTTTATGAGTTATTGCATTCTTAATTTTGAGTACGAAATAAAAAAAATTGTCTTCTTACTACTAACGCGCCATGATAAAGGGTTACCTAGACTCCCATTGTTAGTTCAGATATTAATGTTCAGAAGTTAGTGTAAACGGATTCAACTCACAGGTACTGCTATATGATATTGTCCCTTTCTGTGATGCTAGTATCCTTCTCAGATGTTTATTGTTATCAAAATATTGAACATGGAATTTTGTGTACAAAATCTACAGGGATATTCCGTCTTTCAAATCTGAAGGTGAAATACAGCTCTATTTTCTGTGAGCGATTGTCTCTCGTACGTCAGTCATTTCTTGTCAGCAGTGAGGAATTACAGTCTAGTGCTCTATTCTCTCATTCAAACAAATCTGGGCACCTAAGCATACATGTAGGTACTAGTATTTCTCAATTATTTAGATTGGATATCTGTTGAAATTTCATGTGATAATATGACTTATTTTCTTCTTTTTTTACTCATGTTGATAGAAACGTGGATCATACAAAGATCTGTTCAGAACTAGAGAGTTAGGCATCACAACAGGACTTTTACTCTTCATTTGGTAAGAATTTTTAAAGAAATAGATATGTTTCATCCGAATTAGGTTTTAAGCTGCCATGGACTTTTGGCCTTTGAATTGCCATTTGGTCTACAACCAGTTCGTCTACTGCATAATTAGTCTACACCCAGCCTGTCTACTATCCACATGGTCTTATAATCATTTCATCTAATGTCCATTTAGGCATATGGTCATGTGGTCTTCTTTCCATATCGTCTAATCTCCAATGAGTGTACTGCCCATTTGGTCTATTGTTCATTCATTCTAATAACCAGTTTGTCTAATGCCCATTTCATTTACCATCTATAAGGTCTAATTATAATATGATTATTATTTTGTATGATAAAGTGAACTTAGCAAATGATTTGAAAATACTATTCATGGTCTGTAAGATAATATTTTTCCTTCAATTATAAACTGAATGTACAACTGCACATTACTTCAAATATCTGTGTTTGAAAATATCAGATAAAACCAGTATCAAATGTTATCCTAAGAAAACACTTCATATATCAGAATTGTCATATTCTCTCAATTGTTGTTCATTTCTTTGACAGGTTTGCCAATGCATTCTCATATTATGGTCTGGTTTTACTCAGTACTGAACTCTTTGCATATGGAGATTCTTGCTCAGGTAATATTCAAGCTTCTGCTGTGATAAAAATGACTCTTGAATTAGAAAAAAGTCTGAGATATTGAGATTTTTCCACTCTTTCCCTATTAATGCATTCACTATGTGTAATTCATTGATACAACTATAGTGTCTTGGATTTAGAAAGGATGAAAAAGTGCCTAAATACAAGCCATGATTATTTTATGATCGATTTTCTCAAAAAATTCACACATACAATTCTATCAAAGGGCCTCTTAAAAGGCGACAACTTAGATTTACTGTTCTGTATAAATATTATAAATAAACTAATACAGGATAAAGTTATCCACTCTTATTCATAGAAATTGCACAAATATAAGCTTCAGGCATTTGAGAACTTTTTTATGGTACATGTATTTTCATTTGCAATAGAATTCTTTACTTGTTTTCTATCTTGTTTTCTACCTTATTTCTTTCATATCACAGGTGGTAATGAGAAGACAGCGGAAGGTGGTATGGCATGTTTTGATGAATGCAAGACACTCTCTACAGCTGATTATGTTTCTCTTCTTTGGACTACACTAGCTGAATTACCAGGTGAGTAAAAATGTATATACATATCTGATGTATGGTCGTAAAGAAAATCATGTTAGTGAATTTTTTTATTTTTTTTATTTCGGGATAAGCCAGTTTTCAGGGTTTTGCCTGAATTCAGGACCTGTCATCTCTCTGTTGCATGCTTTATTGGGCATTATAGAGTATAGATCTTATGGGGTTCCAACATGTTGTGGTCTCAGTTTAGGATAAGCTGTTATGTTTAACCTTAATAAAAACATTACAAAATTAAGTTTAGAGTTCTGTTTAATAGTATTTATAAGGATCTTCCCACCAACCTGCGTTAAACGTCGCTCTGATGATAAGCCCTGGATCACCAACCGAGTTCTTACGATCATCTCACAACGTCAGAAAGCTTATCTGCTCGGTAATATCCCATTGTACAAAACCCTACGCAATACAGTTCGAAGAGAGATTGCTAAGTGCAAGCAAAATTTCTACTCCCGAAAAGTCAAGAATCTTAAGAAACAGCGACCGGGAAAGTGGCACCAGGAGATTCGTCACCTCGCGGGTCTCAAGAAGACTAGACCTACCTTACCCGAAAGTGACTTGGCCCCTGCAGATCAAGCTGAAAATATCAACAACCATTTCGCTTCAATCTGCTCGGCACTACCTCCTCTTGATCGCAATGCACTGCCAGCATTTCTTCCTGCCCCGCGACCACCTCCTGTAATTGAAGCTCACCAGGTCTATCAGAAGCTTAGGAATATCAACCCCTCTAAGGCTTCGTACAAGGATGACCTTCCGGCAAGACTCATCCGAGAATTTGCACCTGAACTAGCTGATCCTCTTGCTCGTATATTTAATGAGTGCCTACAATCCGGCGTTTTCCCCGACCAGTGGAAGCTATCCAACATAGTGCCGATTCCTTTCGACCAATTACGACCGATTTCTCTAACACCTATCTTTGCTAAGATCTTTGAAACCTTCCTTTCAAGTTGGATTACCCGCGACATCAGTCACAAGTTAGACAGTCAACAGTATGGAAATATTAGGAACTCATCGACCACTCACTACCTTGCGAGTCTTGTGGACACTATCTTAAAAGGAACTGATAAGCCTGGCCATGTTGCATCACTATGTGCCATTGATTATGCCAAAGCTTTCGATCATATTGATCACAATGTTGTTGTTACGAAACTTATCCAACTTGGTGTAGACCTATCACTTATTCCAGTCTTTTGTAGTTACCTTGAATGTAGATCACTCTGTGTTTGTATCGGTCCTATTGTCTCTAATTTCTCTAATGTGACATGTGGAGCCCCCCAAGGCAGTAGCCTCAGCCCGGTCCTCTTCTTAGTCATGATTAATGATGCTGCCTCTGATACACAACTAAGATGGAAATATGTAGATGATCTCACAATTGCAGAAGTTAGGAAACATTCCCAACCCTCTAACATCCAATCAGTAATCAACAATCTCTCTACTTGGTCTACTGATAATAGCATGACCCCTAAACCTGAGAAATGTAAGATAATGAATGTTTCATTCCTGAAAAGACCTACTGTATTCCCGAACTTTCACCTTGGTGCAAGCACTCTTGAATGTGTAGATACTCTCAAACTATTGGGTGTTATTGTACAAGCTAACATGAAATGGGACATGCAAACTTCTCATATGACTAGCGCAGCTGCTAAACGATTATATATGCTATGCATACTCAACAAGTACAAAGCCCCTGTCGGCGACTTGCTATCGGTCTAGCTGATGTATATCAGGCCAATACTAGAGTATGCCTCCCCTGTGTGGTCTCCAGCTCTCACAGTACAGCAATCTAACCAAATTGAGCGCATACAAAAACGTGCGTGTAGAATTATCATTGGCTACCACAATTACACAGACTACGCAAATGCTCTCAAGTTTCTGAACATCATATCACTTGAGCACCGTCGAAAACAATTATTTGAGAAGTTTGCTAAGTCCATCATAAGCTCGAGGCGCAGTTCGATGCTCCCACCTCTCCGAAGCACCCTACCTAATTATCGTCCCCTAAGATCGAAGGATGGGTTTCTAGAACCGATGTGTCGTACGCAATGCTATGAAAAGTCTCCTCTACCCCAAGTCATTAAGACTCTCAATAACCTAATGTGAATTCAAAAAAAATTAATTGTATTTCATGTACCGGTACTCTTTAGATCTGAAACAACGTGCAATACTTCATTAAAGCTGTATTTTCTGATACATGATTCATAATATTGAAGATATGCGGGTTTTCCAATTAATAGAGGTGTCAACTTTTCCTGAACAATTAGCTTCACATGTTGTGAATCTTTAGACCTGATACATGTACAAGGTGCAATACTTTATTATAGCCATATTTTCTGATTCGTTAAATTGAAGATATGCAGGTTTTCCATTAATAGAGGTGTCAACTTAGCAATTAGCTTCACATGTTGTGACTCTTTAGAATCACTACAAGTTGCAATACTTTATTATAGCTGTATTTTTCTGATCCAGAATATTGAAGAAATGCGGCTTTTTCCATTAATTAATAGAGGTGTCAACTCTTTAACAATTAGCTTTACATGTTTTGCACAACATTGTCGAGAAGGGTATTGATTATATTTTGCTATTTACTGCCAAATTGCTCGTACATTCTAGCTACTCTAAATTTCTTGAAAATGCTGAAATGTTGACCATCATGTGCAGGCGCACCGTGGCCTTCAGAGCGGACGCGACGATGCGTTGCAGGCCAATCCACTGTTGTCTTCTCTGAAGGCTCCGGTGCGCCTTCTTCTGTGTAGATGTGTATAAGAAATGTATTAATGTTTTAATGCTACGTTTATCTACCTTATTTCTTAATTTGCCTTTTAAAGATCTCTTCTCTCTCTCTCTTTCTCTCTCTCTCTCTCTCTCTGCCTCTCCATGTCTCTCTTTTTCTCTCCTCCCTCTCTCTCTCTCTCTTCTATCCCCTTCTCTCTCCCCTCTTTTCTCTCCCTTCTCTCTCTCCTCTCTCTCGCTCTCTCTTTTTATACCTCACTCTCTCCCTGTCTCTCTTCTCTCTCTTTCTACCTTCCTCTCTCTCCCTCTCTCTTCCTCTCTCTTCCTTCCCTCTCCCTCACTTCCCCTCCGTATCTCCCCTCCCCTCTCTTTCCCTCTACCTTCTCTCTTTTTCTTTCTACCCTCCCCTTTCTTGTCCCTCTCTTTCTCTCTCACCGCTTCTTCTTCTTCTCTCTCTCTCTCTCTCTCTCTCTCTCTATTTAGTCATTTATCTTCTTTTCGATTTCCTTGTCATATCTCGCCTTGGTCTAGCCACATCTAGCCAGCCGTTGTATATTGTATTGTAACCATATTTTCATGTGTGTGAAACAATATGTTCTTCTTAAGTGTATATTTGTTGGTTCAATTTTGTTTACACTATTCAATTTCATTGTAAATCAACCATTATGAGTTCCTGAACTTTACGTGTTGATGTTTTTAAACCGAATAAATAAAATAAAATAAATAAAATAAATGGAATAAATTTATAAATGTATGAAAATTCTTAAGAATGAAATTTGTTAATTGCAAATATTTTGCTATATGTCTATGAAAATCAAATATATCTGACAGAGAAAATTGAGATATTAGAAATTAAATTGCATTACAAGAGAAACTGGCACAAAAAGACTTTGAACTTTATCGTCTGATAGTAAATTAATTATTATTGAGGAGCAATATGCAAAAGGTAAACAAATTATAAAAAATTAGTTGGAATTGCATTCACAGAAAATGACAACATATATATGCATACATATAGTTCTGAAACACAAATTTCTCATACAGGGGTTCATATTTCCGAAAAATGAAACATGGTTCATAATTTTGAAAGTTTGTTAATAGTTTTGAGGCTGCCATCCTTGTCAAGCTTTGCTTATGATTGCGGTCTCCTGCACTTTTCCAACAGAATAGTTCGGATAATACTTTAAATTTATGATAATATGTTATGGAAATATTAAGTTTCGTTATTATACGACATATATTATGTAAAAAAAACATTTTGACATGAAGAAATTATTGTTTGTATATGTTGTATTATACCCTTACATTTATATGTTCTCTGTTATTCAGTCATATTATATTTGGAAAAATGCAGAAATCAAATCAAATCAAATCAAATCAAATCAAAGCTTATAAAACAGAGAATCATGATCAATCATTAAATAGAATTTGGATGTAAGTGATGAATTTCTATCTTTGTCATTCTTTCATATTATTCTCTATACTCTAACCTTCTCTTATGTTTGTGTCTCTTGTCTTTGAATTTCAGGGCTTGTGATTACCTTCTTACTCATTGAGTCACTTGGACGGAAGAAGACAATGGCTATTGAATTCCTGTGCTTTTCTCTCTTCACATTCCTCATATTCATGTGTACATCGAGGTAAGACATGTACATATTTTCTTGTTTAATAATGATAGTGATAATAATATTGGATACTTTTATATCACACATATCCACCACCCATGGGGCTCAAAGCGCTCCAATATTACCTTGGCTCTGCTAAGCCACCAAGGTATTCCTTTCTATAGGTAGACATTTAACTCCTGGATGGTGAGTGGCAAGTGTAGATTAATACCTTGCCAAAGGACTGTGATTCACTGTCCGTCAATGTATCCACTTGACCATGACACCAAATCTAGAGCATGCCACTGTTAGAAGGATTTTGTTGAGCTAAGTGACTTAGAAAATATGGAAGCAAAAGAATGATTATCAGGTGCCATTATGATAACATTTTTGTGAGCAATTTTGAAAGTACCATTATCATCATTGCTTATTATTCCACATATGTTTCTGTTCAATGGTTGCAATAAGCCAGTTCCTAAATACTATTTGCGCATGGGCAGATAATGATCATCCCAAATTGTCAATCCCATCGAGACGAATACTGGTATCCTGCTCAATAAAGTTATGAAATCAGTATTCATTTATGCACCAACAGTACATTTATCTGATACACAGGTGGAAGTATTCTTCTCAAGAGGCGCACAAAAAAGTATTCATGAAGCACCTCCATCACTTCTGCAGTGATTATTCTAAAATGCACAAGTTGGACGTATCCATCGTGTAAAAGATCTGTGGATATTTTGGGGTCATGCATTCCAAAGCTATGTATGAACTGGCTTATTAATGAAGGCAAATTGCATAAACAACTTGGTGCTGTTCTGGGGTGAAGGTTCCGCATAAATGAAATAGATTTTTCAACCGCTATATTTTAGTATTTTTAAATAAATGAGTTACAATTGTTACCATATTATATATTTTTCACCAAATGTAACTTTTTCCTTCTCAGCTAGGATTTTACCTCATTGAAAAGTAAAGGTTTTGTTATCGAATTAAAAAGTCTTTCCAATTAAAGCTTGGTGCATGATACTGGTACATCACATTTTCGAGAAAATGGCTCTGCCCATGTCATTTTAAAAGGCATTACATCATGCCAAGAAATCTTCATTTATATATCTCTTGTACAGGTTCGTAAGATTTATTGTACATCAAAAGGCAGGAATTTATCTTGTTTTATAAAGTATCTACACTTATTCTTTGGGGTTAGTTCCCCTTTAAAGTTAGAGAATTCCACTTAGTGCATTTTAGCATCATCACTGCCAAAGTGATGGAGGTGCTTCATGATTAGCTTTTGTTTGTCCTCTTTACTTCCACTGGTCTATCATAGACGTATCGTCGGTGCATAACTCAATAATGATTACATAACTTTCATGAACATGTACCTAGCAGTTGTCTTGATGGGTTTTACAGTTTTATACAAATGACTTTTATCTGCCCATGCACAGATAATATCTCTGAAGTGACTTTCACCCCCTCATAATCTCATCAGTCCATTCTGTTAATCCTATGTATTGTACCACTTTTCAGAACTGTATTGACACTGTTCCTCTTTGCTGCAAGAGCGTTCATCTCAGGGGGGTTCCAAGCAGCCTATGTATATACCCCAGAGGTAAGAAGATTACCTTATAACCAGCCTACCTACCACCCCCCCCCCCCCCCCCCCTCTCCTCCTCCCAAAATAAAACCTTGCTCCTCTTGTTCCACAGTTCTGTTTGTGACATTTGAAGGCATAATAGTAACCTTTCTAAATGATTCGTTTGTAATATGCTTATTCCATATAGATATCTTGCTTGCAGCAAACAACAAATATGTAGATCAACATGGATATGCAAAGTATGAAATGATAAGTCTTTTTATTGCAAAGGTTGCACTTATTCACTATAGTAATAAAATGATACTTTATCCACATAGAAGATCATGATACGATAAGTCATATTTAGTAGCATCAAATTATATTAGATAGCTCTTACAGGTACAAAGTTGTGATTGGTCCAAAACCGTCACATGATATCTAGTGCGAGGATTTAAATTAACATATTTCACTTCCTGGTCATTTTTTTGGGGCCAGACTCCTTAGGCAGCAAGCCAGGTCCATGCTCAAAAACCCACGTGGGGAAGGACCTTTATTTTACTGCGAGGTGCAGTTGAAGGCGCCTTGTCACAAATATTAGTAACAATGTAACAAAAATAACAGTTAAATTTTCCTCCAATGTCCAAACAGAAATTCGGCCATACAGGTAGTGTTGATCTAGTTTCAGAGTGGTGAGTCAACACACCTTGTATGACTGAGCTGGGAGACATTGCCAGGCACAGTACAGGTGTATAAGACGCACCCCCGACTTTTGATTTTTTTTTCGGCGTAAAAAAGGTGCGTCTTATACACTGAGATTTATGGTATTTGTGCATCATACAGTATCCAAGCGACCCTGCACCCATTAGAGCATGCGCATTGTTTTCTTTGCTTAAGCCATGTGCATTTAATGCGAAAGGTTAGACTGCTTGAGAGCAGACAAGGCATGAGATTACAATTATCCTTGGTTTTAAATAAAGTGTGTTTATGTATATTTACATTCCTTATTATCTACAGATCAATGGATTTTGATATGCAGTATGAGATTTTCAAATAGTTTTGTATAGAAAACTGTTAATATATATTAGAAGCCCCAATTATCATCATTGCCGGTATGTTACCATTATTACAGGTTTACCCAACTACCACTAGAGCTGTAGGTCTTGGTTGTTGTAGTGCTGCTGCTAGAATAGGTGCTATCATCACGCCATTTGTTGCACAGGTAATGTTGTCACCTCATACTTAGTATAGCCGTTCTCTTTACACTGCCACAGGCAGTTTTTGAACTGCTGCCCAATTGTTGATTTTGTGGAGATTATTCTTGCCCATAGAAATGTTCGTCTTTCATTTTGAAATTCAAACTGGGTTTGTCATTCATGAAGTTTAATATCGCTGAACAGAATTGTATCATAATTAACAATAAAAGAAGAGATATGATGATAGAAAGTAAACTCAGGAAATGTTATCTTGATATTTGTTTCCAAACTTGTTGGGCACTGTAATGGTAGAATGCCTAGCATTCTGAAAGGGGATAAATAGTATTGATAAAGCAGATGAAGATTTTGATAAGGCCTGAAGTACATATAATTATCATCAGAGATTATCTAAAAGTTGCAGTGATGAAAAAGCATCAAATTTCATTGGCATTTTTATTATCATAATTACTATTGTTGGATCTAATATCAAGCATATTTTTCCCCATAGAGAATATATCCAGCTTTTTTCAAACCAGCGAGATTTTTGTTTTTGAAAAGTGCTTCAAATAAGTAAAATGCTCCTTAAGCCTCATATTTATATAATATTGACTGGCCTTGAGGGGTATATCAGAAATATTGACCAAGCTCAGATCATATTGCCCCGAGTCGAAAGACGAGGGCAATATGGTCTTAGCGCGGTCAATATTTCTGATATCCCCCGAAAGTAAAGCCAGTCAATATTTTTATTGTTATCCAAATCAGACATCTAGAGCAAATACAGACATCCACCATGACAATCTCAAGAACTGAACAAACTTTGTCAAACCAACACTGTGCATCCAGTGCTTGACAAAATTTTCGATACACTGCAAACAGTGTGTATTTGGTGTGATTATTACGTCACAATAGAGTGCGCGCAAAGTGCGCAGGTTCTCGTACGCATAATAGATGCGCAAAAAATGCGACGCGGTCAATACAAGATGCCCGGAGCGAGACCGTGGAAAATACCAAGGTATATTTTCACTCGTCTCTACACGCAAAGTCAATACGCGCAGGGAGACCAAGGAAAATACAAAGAATATACCCCTCCGTTCCCACTGCTAGTGAAAACTAGGGCAATACGGTTTTGTAAATGACCAGCTCAGATGTCTGATACGGGTAATAATAACCAATATTATGCAGTTTTAGAGAGTTGTAGCAAGTTGTATTACCCAGCAATTAGATAGAATTCAGAAGTCTACTGATGACAACTGAAAGCTTGAAAAATTTTAATCACCTACATGTGCCAATTTTGTGTTTAAATATATGAACAAATTGTTTTTTTTCTAGAGTACACATTTTTGGTGGACACCAGCTTGAGATATGTGTACCGGTATTTAAAGTTTAGTTATCATTGGGCTTAGTTTTGTGGTGTCTTCCTTTGATACAAGTTTTAGTCCATAACATTTAGTTTCACATAATTTAATGTTAGATAGTAGCTGTGAGTGCCACAAGAGATGTTTATATTGTCTGTTCAGTGCCAGAAGGTCGTTAACTCTGTGTTAAAGTTTATGGGTTAATTACCTTCTGGCTCCAAACAGATGTCATACTTGTGCATATACAGAGCAGCTTTACTAACAAATAAGCATGCTTTTCAAGAGTTCCATCATTATTTTTATGATGTAATTTGTAAAGGTACTTCTTCCAGTCTCCAAGAACTTGACAGTAGGGGTCTATGGAACTGTGTGTATTTTTGGAGGAATAGCATGTCTCCTGCTTCCGATAGAGACCAAAGGCAGAGCCATGCAGGTAAGTACGAACCAAGAAAGACCTTCAACAATTTCATGTGGTGATTTCAATCCACTCTTAATTAATGTAGAAGTGACTTGTGAGTAGACTAGTGAAATTAGTGAATGCACCAGAACCAGCTTACATCGAATAGGGCCCATTCAGAAACCAAATTAAACTTGGGTTCTGTGCAGGATTTTTTGTTATTTCTTGTTTAATACTCCTTTTCAGTTGGCATGTAGAGTAGTGGGTACCTGGTATAGTATTTATGCCTCCGCTACAAAGTAGCCGTAGGCATTCTTTCTTCTTTTTTTTTTTTGGGGGGGGGGGGTTGTCCGTACATCTGTACGTCCCGTTCTTGAGATCGTGTGATCTCAAGAACCGATTGATGGATTCCTGCCAAACTTAGGCCCTGTATGTATCTTGCAGAGCCAATAAATTGATTAGATTTGGGGGCCACGAGGTCAAAGGTCACAGGGCTCATTATGTAAGCAAAAGTAGCTTGTGATCACAATTTATCATAATTTTATGATTGTTTTTTTTTTGTCTGTTTGTTCAAACTTGTAACAAAACTTGATATGGAAATGATAAAATGATAATGAAATTAATTTAAAAAGTATGGAATTGATGTATTCTATATACATCTTTTATTCTGAAACCAAACCGCCATTGTCAGATGTTTCCAATTTATCAAAGGTCACAGGGCTCATTATGTAAGCAAAATAGCTTGTGATCACAATTTATCATAATTTTATGATTTTTTTTTCTTTTTTCTGTTTGTTCAAACTTGTAATAAAACTTTGATATGGAAATGATCAAATGATAATGAAATTAATTTAAAAAGTATGGATTTGATGTATTCTATATACATCTTTTATTCTGAAGCCAAACCGCCATTGTCAGATGTTTCCAATTTATCATACATTCTTACAATTTTGTTAATTTTTTATTTTGCTTGTTTATTTTAGGCATCCAACCAACCTGAGTCCTCACAATAAGTCATAGTTCTATGAAGATTATTATCGTGGAATTTCTACCCAGCAAAGAAGTTTATCATCAAATCAACTTGATTGTGGCCGCTAAAGCAGAATTTATAAGGTAAAATCCTGACTGAAGCTGAAATGCATACAACTGAATGCCTGCCCTTATTTCATAAATTTTCACTAATGTTATTATGTATTAAGAAATCATGACATTCCACTTTGGTTTTCACAAAATCAATTCCAGTACTGCACAACATGTAACACTTGAGATGTTTTTTATTTCAAATTTTGCAGTGAAAAGCTAAAAAGGGGTTGCTTCTCAACCCTTGCAGTAGCCACTCTGAATATTTTTTGTTTGTTAATTTTCTAAAACAATACACAATTCTTGTAAAGTACAACAATGTGAATTCTATATGGACATGCTCCATTTTACCATGGTACCATCCAAACTATGACTCGAGAATACTAAGCTGACAAAAATTGAACACCTTTTTTTTATGAGCAAGATACAACATGATTGCATCTATTTTCCAAAACCTGAATTGCTAAAATTGCTTCTGTTTTGGTTTGTAAAATCGCTCTATGGCGGAGGCATCATCTAGTCCATCTAGTTACTTCTTCATTTTGTTTTTAAACTCTGCAAATGTATTCACTTTTTCAGGTTGGTAATTCATATCAATGGTAGCTAAAGCATGTTAATTTTGACTGTAAGCTTTAATATTCTTAGAATTTAAATTTGAATTGAGAGCAAAAATGAGACAGTTTCCTGGGTAGCTTCTGTATTGTAGCTTGCAAGACAAAGGTTCTTGCTCTTGAAAATATGGCTGAAGGAAAACACTACATTTCGGGTCTCTCCAGAACTAACGATTCACTTCATCTTGAGTATCAAAATATTAAATGTACTGAATTATGGCTGAAGATTTAAAGAGCTACTGTGAGATAAAACATATTTTTAACTGTAGCAGACATCTTTAATTGATAAGCCAACAAAACTATGCACGCGTACACGTGCGCAAAAAAATTTAAAAAAATAAAAATAAAAATTGACCGCCAGAAGATTCGATGGGATTTTGTGTGTAATTTGCCCGTCAATATTAATAAACAATTAACTAATAGACAAGATATATGCCTGATCAGAAAAGTCAATGGACGAAATGCGTGTCAAACTAGCTGACAAGATGTAGAGCAAACATCCCGGTATTTTTGTAATTTTCATTGTGCATCTATTACGCGTATGAGAACCTGCGCACTTTGTGTGCACTCTATTGTGACGTAATAATCACACCAAAGGCACACTGTTTGCAGTGTATCAAAAATGTTGTCAAGCACTGGATGCACAATGCTGGTTTGAAATGTTATTGCAACTTTTCATGCTAGGAAACCCTGTCCAGTGTAGGCTACTGTATTTTACATAATGTATTAAAGAGTAAGATAGTAAGAGTTTCTTGTTTGCTCTAGATGTCTGATGTAGTTAATAATAGTAATATTGACTACCTAATTCAGGGCAATTCGACTTGTCATATATCGCCCTTACCTTCAGTTCGGGCGATATATGTTGTATTGCCTTGAAGGCAGTCAATATTATAGGAGATCCCGGCAAAATTCGCGAAAAATATTATGTAATTGACCATCAATTAGACTGCTAGAAGTACACCGTCGCGATGTCAGAAAATCATGTTGCGCCAAATCGGATGACCAAATAGCGAAAGAAGCACAGTTCATTAATTAATTTAAATGAAACATATATAGATTCTAACAAAAAAAATTCATAGATTTGAAAACTAGAAAAAAGAAAATATACCTGACAGTACTAAAATCACAGAATTTGTACGGAAGAAAAATGAATTTCAATGTCGAACTCACAAATTTCGCCAGGAAATCCTATACTTTAATATGTTCCTTTTGACACATAACTTTATCCATTTCCATTATTTAAAAAAACAAAATATCTCTTCCAGTAGAAACCATATCAGAAAGAATAATTTGTAAAAAGGTGAAATTTCATTTCAGAGGTCAAAGCAAGATATTTTCATTTTTTGATGAAATAGAAAGAAAAAAAATTAAAAATATGTATGTTTAATGGGACACCTTGCTCAGAATCGCACTACTCTGTATTATCAAAAGCAAAAAAGGCAATAATATGTGTATTTTAGTTTAGGTTTGGTGATAGTGTGCATTTAATAAGAGTGTTGTAACAGATGTACTTATATTTGGTGTGTGTTTGTGTTTTGATAGTATGTGAATTTAGTATGTATTCATTAGCACTGAATGGTCTATATTTTATGCAATACATTAGCAGTTCTACGTTTCAGGAAAAATTATATGAATGTGACTCAGAGTTAGTTTTCTTTTACGAGTGTTATATTTAGTGAAGATCTATTTATCCAATCCTCCCCCTTTCTCACATGGTGCAACTGTATTAGCCTACTGTATAAGATCTATTTGTTATGGATATGTAAGCATAAGAAAAAGAGTTTTGCCAATGACTGAACAATGCTGTGTTTGTTTTCTTGTCAAGGTCCAGGTCCTGTTTACAGCAAACTTGTTTTATCTTATAAAGTAATTAGCAGTATTAAAAAACAATTGAGGTAATATTATACAAATAATGAATGGTTATGAGTTCAATAGTGCAAATATTTTCATGAGTTGAAAGATTAACATTCTATTCAACGAGGCGTTAGCCGAGTTGAATAGAATTAATGTTAATCTTTCAACGAATGAAAATATTCGCACCATTGAACGAATGAAAAACATTCATTATTTGTTTTATACAACATCGAAGAAGATCTAATAGAACGTTAATCAACAAATTATGCTTTACTCTTTATATTAAAGATAAATTCATGTTGGATTCAAGCCTTCTCGATTACATTCAAATTGCCTTCGCGTCAGATACACGCAGGGATACGCGCGCGCACGGCAGAGAGGTACGCAGTCTGCATATAACCAAAAATGCACGGCGCATATAACCAAAAATGCAGGACCGTGCAATATACCATCTATTGAATATCATGTGACCAACAATCCTCCAATCAAATGACAGGGATCCACGTAGGTGTTGTATAAAATATCTTATCCAATTGAGGCAATACAATATCTTATCCAATTGAACTCTTGTTACAATTGAGAGTAATTGAAATATTAACTGGAGTTGTAACCCTTAGGATTATTACAAACAACAAGCATACATTTGTGGTTACAAGTGATAGCATGTGTACATGTGTATGATTAATCTACAGGGGGGGGGGGTCAGACTAGCTTGGCTCTAGGGCTGACTAAGCAACGGATGATGATTAAGTTGCAAGTATTAACGTGCTGGCTACTCATTGGCCTCTAAATAGCCTTAAATTTATTTTTCATAAAAAATTCACCTCTTTAACATTTTTAACATGAGAGTCTACCTCAGTATTAACTATTGTATAGATTCCTGTCAAATAATCTACAAAAATTTGTCCATTGAAAAACATTTATGCACTCAATACAAAACTTTATTTGCAATCAGTTCAGCTCTCTTAGCAAACTCTGCCACGATTTTCCACTGAGCCTTACCGGTAGTTATCACTAGTGCCGAGGTAGTGAATGCATTTTCCATTGCCCGACAAGCATGCAAGTGAATGGTGCAAATGGTAGGAATACTCTCTAACAAGTGGAGATGGTGCACTATTATGTGCAGGCTTGAAATCCAGGGTCCAGGTGTAATAATAACAATAACATTGTAGAACATGTGAAATATTCAAATTATTATTATTATTGTGGACAGTATGCCCTACGTTGGAAGCTTTAATATCATTTGGAAAAAATGAGAGAAAGTTTGAGAAAATCACCCAGGTGCCATTAATTGCAGACCATCAAGGCAGGTCTGTCAGGTTATGTAACGATATCATAGTTGAACAATGGTTCCTGGCTACAGGGGTCGATCAAGAATTTTGTAAAAGGGAGTAGGGGCACAATGCCCCCCCCCCCCCAAAAAAAAAAAAAAAAAAAAGAAAGAAAAAAAAAAGAAGCAACAACAACAACATCAAAACAATACAAAATTTAAGAGAAGATTGAGTTCTGGTAAAAATGAAAATAATTTGTTAACTTTCTCATACTGTCTGAAAAGGATTGCTCTCCAACTACACTATGCTCAAAATATGACTAGAAATAGCTGAAAGTTTGGACCAAACTATTAAGCTAGCTATGTGTGTGTAGTCCCGTATACGCATAGCTTTTTATGTTTACAATACATGTGATTTTCTGCAGGATTGAGTCATTTTCTTACCATTTTGATGATTTTGATACCTCACTGTGGCAGTATGTATTCGCTTATTCTTACATATCGTACTACATAATCAATTTTGCCTGTTGCTTCTAGGCAGTTTAATTCATGGTGCAATCACTTGACCAAAACTCAACTTTACCTTTAAATGAGGGGGGGGGGATCACAGACTGGTTGTGCTCAAATCTAGCCAAGGCTTCTAGCCATTGCCACTACTCCCATATTACTCTTTGTAAGATTATTTACATAAAGGCTTGGTAATATTGTTAACATTGTAACATTAACCCTTATTACACGTTATCACAGAGTTAACATTTTTCTGGCTTCGAAATATTATTGTTTCAATGTTCTATAGTCTGGATGTTATGAAACACTCTCAAATGAGTTTTTCTACCTTTGATTATTTCCCTCTCTTTTTTTTTAAAACAAGGGTGACTTTTTTTGTAGTAGTTCAACTTCATTTGAAATATTTGTTATAGACTGTTATAGTTATTATGAATAAATTTATTTTTTTCTTCTTTTTTATTCTGCTTTTTTTATTTCTTGTATAGGAATATATATATATATACTGGGTCTTGTGCAGTATTCATGTTTTGGTTCTTTCATGGATGTGTTTGCTTAGAAGACAAGTATAAACATAGTTGTTTCTTTAAAGGGATCCGGTAACTTTGTCTCAGATTCTGAAACAAAATTCTGGATTTAGCTCATGATGCAATGATAATTATAAACATTTAGGTCAGTCAGGAACCCCATTACTTTTACAAGCCAATCGCCTGTCTGATTATCAAGGTATTTATGATTGGAATTACAAATTTTGAAAACCGTTCGCCTGACGCTTTTCATAACACTACAGTCTATTGGGGAAAACGAGTATGGTAAAACCGGTCACTCAAAGATTTGTACTTTTTTGAGGCACTTCTTGATCATTTTGAAGCGCAATTTTTTTAGGGCTTCAATAATACACCATATCACAGACACTGATAACACGTAGGGCCGTGTATCTCAGATTTAACTTTGTTAAACGATCCCTTTAATGAAGAAAAGGTGAAGGGACTCTACCAAGAAAGATGGTGTTATGAAGCTAATTTTAAAATGTGCAGTGTATTCTATATACAATTGTGATTCCACAGTACTGTAATTTCTTGTAGCATAATATATCCTGGTTGATGGCTACCTGTTGGATTTGTATTTAGTTGTTTTGTTTGTGTGAATGTAGGAATGTATAATTCATCTGAATATTATTCCATGTATCTTATGGAGGTTCCATGTCTATACACGATTCCCTCTTGTTTATCATATCAACTGATATCTCTTCTTTGGATGTATTGTTAAAGAATTGGAATTATAAAGTGACAGTAAGAACATTCTAACCAAGTTATTGAATTTGATCCATTTCTAGGGGCATTTACCGGTATCCATTCTCAGGAAAGGGGCAAGGGGGGGGGGGGCATTGGCCAGACATAGAATTTAAGTGAAATTATACTGTCCATAGCAAAAACAGTTTAAAAATAATAAACTAGAAATCACAAAAAAAAGAAAAATGAAAGATTTTAAAATGTAACAGTTTGAAAGTCATATTTATTGATTGCCATTATAAACTTCCAATGATTGTGTGTATGTGGTACCTTTACACCCGATCTTTTAGTACTGGTTATACTCCCAGGCAGCTTTGGCATTGTGCAGCCTCAAAGGTAACATGGTATTCGTTGTTAAACATCTTTCTAGTTACTTGCTAGAACATGTATATTCAAGCTGAATTAGATTATAAATCCTTTATAGAGTGTTATAGTGGATTATTGTCACAATTTCAAAATCATTCATATAATTGTGTGTGTTTGGAGCCAGAAGGGCGTGTACTGTGTGTACAATGATGAGTTAATACCCTTCTGGCTCTATACAAACAATAAAATGATTTGTTCTTATGTTATGTATGGGAGGTCTACTTGTCAAACTATTATTATTGGTGTAAATATTTTTGTATGTCAAACAATGTTATTTAGATTGATCAGGTATATTTATGGAAATATATATGTATAAGCACTGTGCTAGTAAATTTGTTATATATTTGTATTTTGTAATAAAGTACTATAAATGGAAATTAAAATGCCTAGAACCTCACTAGTTTGATGTATGTCACCTGCATGCCTTTCAAAAAGAATCAAGTGTGTGACTGGACTTGACAAATGAATATCATAGACCCTGTGCTGAGAGCCAGTGTTAACTCCATGTAAAATACATGTTAAAGTGGAGGTTTGTTAAACCATAGCCATTACTCCCATATTACTCTTTATAAGATTATTTACATAAAAGTTTAGGTAACATTAACTCATATTACACTTTACACATAGTTAAAGAAAAACCTCACCCAAAGAATTATTGAAGAGAAGATCAAACTGAAAGATTACTTGTCAACTTATCATTTTAACTCTACCGTGTTGTTGTTGTGATTCACTGCTGAGACGTTACCTCAGCTCAAAAGATTGTGAAATGACTTGTTCTTGTATTTTTTTTACGAAACGTTAGTCTCTGTTTGTCTTCAGCTATGTCTGAAAGACTGAAACTGCTGAGATACCGGCTGAATACAAGGCGTCAATTACATTGCATAGCCATATACAGACGCAGCTTCAAAGCACAGACACAACCCTTTGACGCACCAACCGTTGTGATCCTGTTGGAAGGGGTCGTTTCCACTTTTAATCACATTCATTTCCTCTTTTATTTTCATTTATTTCTCTCTCTCTCTCTCTCCGGAGCAAGTAAGTGCACGACAAGACTGTTTTGAGAAAGGATCATTTGCGATGGAGAGCTTCTCCTATAGCCTATATCACGCAGTTCATTTGCTAATAAAGTTGGCGACATTGGAATCGCAGCCTTATTAATTACAATTAACGGCTGATATTTTGCACAAGATATAGCAGTATTTGTTCCTTTCTATATATAAAAACAATATCTATATTCTTCCATGGATTTTCAAGTCGCTAGTGTTCTTTTTGCTGTTTTTTTAGAGGTATCCCTTGGACTCTTTACTAGTCTTCCCATTTAGAGGTGTTATCAAGAATAATACAAATCTAGTGATATATTCCACCTCAGAAAATAATATTTTCCTTTTTATTTGGGTTATAAACTTCAAATAAAAAGCGGATTTAGTTACTTTGAAATTATTTTTGACACTTCCCAACAAAATTTCACCCAGGATTTGCTGAAATATTTAAAAAAAAAGATTTCTGCTTACAACTGCGAGTAATTATATGCCCCCGTTTATAAGTGAGCGCCAACATCTTTTCTAATTTTCTAAATTTAGGGATAAAATATCGAAAGTCCAGGTACAGAAACAGCAAGAATAAGCTTTGATGAAAGCCATTCCAGAAAATTTTAACCAGTACCTTCGTAAAAAGTATAAAAAAGGATGTATAAATATTTCTAGGTTTTTGATAATTCCAGTGTAAAATAAAAATATGTAAGTGCGCGTCATATTACAAAGCCAGGTGTATTCATCTCATCACACTCATTCGTAATACAACATTTTAAAAAGGGGGTATTTACAGGCGAAAACGTAGAGCGCCCTCTAATGCTCATTACAGTACACTGTAACCCTAACCCTAACCCATACTCATTATTTTCAATATCATATGCTTTCATAATTTAATGTTATTATAAAATAAATTATTCAGCCTCTATTTAGGCTAACCGAGGGTTTTCTAAATTAGTTGCAGTCTCATCTCTTTGATTCATGATTATCATTAATATGTTAATAATCTTATGTTCCTCTAATTTTTCTGCTTTTATTAGAACGAACTTGATGTCATGGTGGAAGTTCCATTTAAGCGCTATATAAAAGTGGAATATTATTATTCTTTTTTCTTTTCATTATCATCATTATCGTCATCATCATTTTATCTTCTTCTCCTTCTCATCAGCACCATCATAAGTTATCATTATCATCATCACTCTTCTAATCATGATCATCCTAAATTTTGTCTTATCATTGTCGTCACCATCATTCTTCTTATCAATTTTATTTATTTATTTACTTATTTATTTATTTCTAATCTTTTGAAATCAATGTTAATCATTCCCTCTTCTCCTTATTGTTAGTGTTGCTGCTGTTCTTTTCTCTCTTTCAGTCTCATCTCTTCGATATAATCATTCTTTCTTCTTCCCAACATCATCATATTCACTCTTCTTTATCATTAGGTATCATCCTAACTTTATTCTCCTCCCTTCGTCATCATCTTCACTCTTCTTTATCATTAGGTATCATCCTAACTTTATTCTCCTCCCTTCGTCATCATCTTCACTCTTCTTTATCATTAGGTATCATCCTAACCCTATTCTCCTCCCTTCGTCATCATCTTCACTCTTCTTTATCATTAGGTATCATCCTAACCCTATTCTCCTCCCTTCGTCATCATCTTCACTCTTCTTTATCATTAGGTATCATCCTAACCCTATTCTCCTCCCTTCGTCATCATATTCACTCTTCTTTATCATTAGGTATCATCCTAACCCTATTCTCCTCCCTTCGTCATCATCTTCACTCTTCTTTATCATTAGGTATCATCCTAACCCTATTCTCCTCCCTTCGTCATCATCTTCACTCTTCTTTATCATTAGGTATCATCCTAACCCTATTCTCCTCCCTTCGTCATCATATTTACTCTTCTTTATCATTAGGTATCATCCTAACCCTATTCTCCTCCCTTCGTCATCATATTCACTCTTCTGTATCATTAGGTATCATCCTAACCCTATTCTCCTCCCTTCGTCATCATCTTCACTCTTCTTTATCATTAGGTATCATCCTAACCCTATTCTCCTCCCTTCGTCATCATATTCACTCTTCTTTATCATTAGGTATCATCCTAACCCTATTCTCCTCCCTTCACTCTTATTAGTTGCATCATTATCATCTTAATTCTTGCCCTTTGTTTCTGTTTTTTTTCTTCTTCTTGTTTTGTCTTATCATCATCATTCTTTTAGCTTCCTCCTCCTCCACCTTTTTGTTCTTCGGCCTTTCCTTCTTCTACCAGCTTTGTCATCATTGGTGCATTATCATTATTCAAAAGGAGATATCACATTTGATTTGATTAATTTCATGATTGTAGAATTCAGATTTGGTTAATATTATTTAACATTTTTGTGGGTTTATCAAGTGTCCTGACAAATTTAATTTCTTTTCATTTTTTACATCTCTTTTCTATATTTCTCCTTAAATGGCTATTCTTCGGTTGCCAATATCTCTAAAGTGCCTTGGGAAAATAAAATTATCAATTCCATTTTGAGACCAAATTCACTAGCACCAAAGCTATGGTACATCATTACTTGTAGGTAAACAAACTGTAATGTATATATGAAGAGTGTGAATGCAAAAACCACTTTATCCATTTTTGTCAAATTGAGATTCATGTATTTTCAACTAAAGATCAAGAAGAAAAAAAAGGGAAAAAAAATTATGCTACTTTTGAAGATATCTTCAACAATATACCTTAATATGTAATGAGGAATGTATCATTCGAAAAGAATGGTACTAGATGACACCGAACTTACTTTACTTACTTTTTGCATAAAAACTCTTCATACGTTGTCAATACGAAACGCACCCTTGTTAAAGACAATAAAGAGCAATTTTGCTGTTCAAGGAAAAGAAAACTTGGTTTTTATTAAAGATTTTTGCGGTTTAGAGCAAAAATTGATGCAATCACTGAATGTACATTTAAATGTATATGCCTTTATTACAGCTGTGGTACAAATGATAGTCTGTGATACATGGAAAAGCAAGTAAACATACAATTGAAACTAGACAGTTTAAAGTAACCTCTACTCTGCATTCTTCTTCATGAAAGTGGTGCCTTCAATAGAAAGTGAAAGCCTTATCAAAAAGTCTAAATATTTCAGAAGTCACCAAGATGCATAAATGTAGACTTCTCTTGATCTGGCTTTGTGTAACCTCAACCAGAAGGACTAGTTAAAGATCATAAGTGAAGAGACAAAAAATGAGTCAACGAGGAATAGATCAAGATGGTTCATACAAACCTATGTGTTCACAGTTATACACATAATTACAAAGAGGCTGATTAGTAAACCTGATGGGTTACATGAACTTACGTAACACTGTATGAAAAAATTGTCCCTCCCATATGCATACATGATCAAAATTTGCAGTTGATCCGTCAAATCTTTTTTAAGTTATCGCGAGAACGAGAATGAAAACGGGACTGATGGATGGACGGACAACCCGAAAACATAATGCCTCCAGACGGAGGCATAACAAATCTATATTTTTCAAAAAAATTAATTACAATTGTTGCCACCGTCTTCCTGATTGCTCTTTTACTGATGGTGCTATTATACCCCCACCTCACCCAGCTTTTCTGAAGTTCCGGAGACGTTTTTTTCAATGGAGCACCAGTGGTCTGGATGGAGAAGGGCCGTTGATCATCACCATCACCATCTTCTTCTGCATGTTCGTACACTGGTCGGACAAACTTTAAGTACGAGTCAAATAGCTCATACTCGTAGGGGTCAAGGATGACTTCTGCCCTGCCATATGAGGTGCAAGTCTTGTGTTCAGGCACCTTTAAAAATCAATACAAATTCTTCAATTAACATTTCGGAATGAAAAATTGCAGGATTAGAGCTGGCAAATTTTTATGCTGGACTGTTCATAAGGTTAATTAAAAGGTTTCCTTTTAGCCCTTAAATTTCATTGGTCTGATGAATTAATTATAATAAATCCATTAATCAAGATTTGTGAATTAAGTAACATCTCCTATTTCATTGTACCTATGGAAATACTTTTCATAGCCACAAATATACTTTGTTTTCAAATTACATGTTTCATTAGGGAGAATCCAATAATACTTTGGCGAGGGGCTTTGAGCAATATTTCATCATTATCAGCATTATCATAATTAAATACAAGTGGTATAGAAAAAAATAAAATCATTGTTTGAATTATTGAAATGAATCAATATAAGGCAAGATAGACAACATGACCAGTGAATACAAGTTACAAGTTCTGTAATGTCCTAACATTATACAAACTCTGTAAAGATAACAAGAGGAAAACCATAATCTCCTAATCATGTTGGTTTATACTAATGAAAACAACTCACTTAAATTACATGTAAGCCAGTCGGTGCACTCTTCATGTGGCCCACTGTTAGGTTGGTTAAGACATCACTCCTTGATGCGGTGTTGATCAGGGCTAATAGTACAGATTCCTATAATCTTCTAATTCAGTGGGGCTGATCGGTACTCCTTTCTGCCGAATTTCTAAACAATTCATTAAAACGTCAGACAATTATTCATATTAATTTCATGTAATAATAATAATAATAATAATAATAAATTTATATAGCGCAGCTTTTATACAAAACATATTCAGCTGCGCTGGTTAAGAGCTCCTTTTTACTAAATTCTACAAAATAAGATCACTCAGTTGAACAAATAAGTTTTTAAATTGGATTTAAAAACATTGAGAGATGGAGTGCTTCGTATTTCTATTGGCAAGCTATTCCATAGTTTGGGGGCAGCAATAGCAAAAGCACGGTCCCCAAGAGTTACTTTAGTTTTGCCATGGGGAATCTGAAACAATAATTTATCTGTGGAACTGCGCAGGCTAGGACTGTGTGATTGGACTTTGAGTTGAAGTAATTCTTTGATGTAATTAGGGGCTTGACCACTCAATGATTTATAGACAATTAACAATATTTTGAATGAGATTCTTTGACGGACTGGCAACCATGTCATGAAAATATAAACTTGATTTATGGTTTGGATTGTTTTTAAAATAACAAAGTTGATATTGTTTTAAATGTAACAAATGAAGTTTACAAAAATAGATATGAAGAACTAATTTATTACTCTGTCCATCAACCCCCAACACTGACGTATAATATTCACCTTACTTTCTAACTGCATTGCATAATAATAATAACAATAATAATAATAATAATAATAATAATAATAACAATAACATTTTATATAGTGCCTATTACAAATGGTTCTAACGTTTTAGGCACTTTATATTAACATGAATAACAAAACAATATTATTTTGATAAATTTTAATACATTACAACAACAAAATATTTATAACTAACTTAACATCTTGACATACAATTCAGAAACAAACAGCCATCCAAACTGAAAAGAGCATGGTTACTTCATGAATAGGTTTGCAAAGTTTATTTCTGCAAGTACAGGTGTTTACATGTTCATAAATGCAGATTTATACTGACCTGATGTTACTTCTGCTTGTGCCATCAACTGTCTGTGAAAACCTTTCAAGTTCTCAACGGCTATCAATGTTTCTACAAATGTAAGAGACAATCAATACTATTATGTTGAACTCACAAGAGACAAGCAGCATCTTTAGATATTGGAGAAAATCTGAAAATTGTAGTACAAAACATACGGAGAGTTGTCCACAACAGCCTACCATTTTGAAGCAATATTGCCAATTTGAAGATTACCATAGAAAGTAAATTGAGACTTTAAAACTTGCATCACTCTCTCATTTTTAACCAATTTTGATGAAACTTTTTAAGATTGCTTCTCTCTATCCCCTCTTTTCATTAAAATTGATTTTCCCTGAGTGTTCTGGTATCCTTTATGCTTTTAGAAGATAACGCAAATTCCAACTTGTTTCAGTCACTGAAATGAAATAAAAATCTTGATGTATCACATGCTGAAATAACTGTTGCATGCTTATCAAGAATCTGGTGTCAAAAACACCAAACAATAAAACTCATGTTAGTATATAAAACTTGATAAACGCCAACCAAAACAAGTTTGGGAAAAAACCTGTTAGTCAACTTTATTTTTTAATTTAAGATGAACCTTCTATGTTGTCCTTGAGTTCACTTGCTCTTTTTCTGATACTTTTTCCATTATTGATGTTCATTTGTTTCAGAAGACCTTCCATTCTTCCAATTTGCTTCTCGTTGATTCCCATTCCCTCCATATCCTCATACTCAAACTTTGAAAATGGAGGACACCACAAAAGAAGAAGTTATGATGAGAGTAAAAGCAGGATGGATGAACTTTGGAAGATACAAGGCATGTTGACCGATAAAAACATACCCATGTCACTAAGAAGAAGAATGTTCAACCAATGCATTCTAACAAATATGACATATGGATCAGAAACATGGTCATTGACAAAGGATCTAGAACAGAAGCTTGTGACTACTCAACGAGCTATGGAGAGAAAGATGGCGCATTTATCTCTCCCGAGACAAAATCAACCACAAAGTCATACGCCAGAAAACAAAGGTTAAAGACATCATGGAGAAGGTCAGAGAATCAAAGTGGAGATGGGCTGGGCATGTAGCAAGACTTCAGGACAATAGATGGACAAATCGTTTAACAGAATGGCAACCAAGGATGGGGAAGAGAAGAAGAGGAAGGCAGAAGAGAAGATGGAGAGATGATCTAACATCATACATGGGAATGGATGCTTGGACTAGGACAGCTAGAGACAGAAGAGAATGGAAATGTTATGAGGAGGGCTTTGTGCAATGCAGGAGAGTACACAGGGGGGGGGGGGGGGGGGGTTTGAGGGAGTCAAACCCCCCCCCTTTGATATTTTGTGTAAACCCCCTTACCCCCCCCCCCCCCCCCCCCTTGAAAAAAATCCTGCGTACGCGCCTGGTCCAACGTCTGTATGAACTATAGCCTGATAGATAGATAGACAGATTAGGCTGGTACTGATCTTTCAATTTCTCATAAACCCTGTATATTGGGGGAAATGAATACCAGTTCCTACATTTAGGTGAATAATACATAAAACTGCAATATCAGGAGCACAAACTTAAATTATATTTGACAATGGAATGACCGGATTCAGGTATGCATCCCAAATCCACATTATTTTCTCATGGTATTAACTACTACGATAATTACTATTATCAGAGCATAAATATGATAATGAAAGGAGACACCCATTTAGATAATACACTTTTACTTTTAAGCCGAAAAGGAGAGGAACATGTCAGTGAACGTTTGGCCTATTTGACATCAATCTTAAAGATGTGTTCAATCAAACATAAAATGTCAACAAAGTTATTAATGGCACAGCACAAAAAGACTTTTTAAAAATCAATTTCTTTTTCCCCCTCAAGAATTATATCCATCATACATGTTGCCAATGATATATTTGCAACATCAATTTTTACAACCCCTATTTTGAAATTGAAATATTACATATTACACAAAGATCAGTTCCATCCATAGAAGAGGACGTGAAGAGACGTACAAGACTGGCCGCTTGGGCATTCGGAAGACTGAAAAGTGCCATCTGGTCCAACCAAGATATTTCTAGGAGACTCAAAGTCAGGATCTACAGAGCACTTATCCTCCCTATTGCCACATATGGAGCAGAATCCTGGGCTCTCCGAAAGTCTGATAGAAATAAGCATGAGGTATTTGAAATGAGGTGTCTCCGGACCATCCTTGGAGTTCACCTAATGGACAAGATTAGGAATGAGGAGATCAGGCAGAGACTGAATGTCCCAAGCACCATATGCGAGGAAATAACCAAACGTCGCTTGAAATGGTTTGGCCATGTTTTACGCATGCCGCATCACCGCCTACCATACCAAGCATTCCAAAATTACTTTAATGGACGCAGACCACGGGGACGCCCTCCAAAGAGATGGAAGGACCAGGTTCAATGCGATGTGGGATTATCCACACAAGAGGCAGAGCAACGAGCCCAGGACAGATGAGACTGGAGCATGATTTCTGGCAGGGGAGCAAGGGGATACACCGTCCTATGCACCTAAGTCAAGCAAGTCAAGTCAAAGATCAATGCAAATAGTACACACATGATACAGTACAAAATTGCCCATTGATGTTTGATTAATCTCAACACTAGTAATACAAAATTCATAATAATAATAATAATAATAATAATAGCCTAATAGTCCACTCCAAATTTTATTAAACCGAAACGGAAATTCTTTTTGCCCGATTGATCGTGAGCCCAGCAGCCACTGAGCAGCGCCAGATCGATGTTGCTCTATCCCTTATTGTTGAACGCCAAACAAGGTAGCAACAACTCCCATCTTTTAACATCTTTTGGTATGACGCGGCCGAGGTTCGAACCCACAACCTCAAACTTTTGTCAACCAGTTCCTTTTACTTTTCTGCTTCTTTTAACTCCAGCTCATTGTCTGAATGGTCTTTACCTTTGAGCTGCCCTTAATGGCAGATTGATATTCATTCCTCACTCATATCAACATATGCCAGATTGTCACCCCATAATTGAAGAATCCAACAATTATCAAAGAATTTAATGAAAAATCCATGCCTGAAGCAAACAAGGGAAACGCTCTCGGCGGTCTCGCCTGCATAACGCAATTCAATATGATAAACCAGAACGTCAATGACGTAGCGCTCATCCGCATCTCACAACAACAAATATCGTAAATTTTATGTGGTACACTTTTGAACTGGTCAAAAAATAGAAATTTGATGCCCTGGAAGGGACATAATTTCATTTCATTTGCATAAAGTACCATAAATAATCAATGGAGCAAAATCTCACAATTCTGTGTAGAAGTTTATTGTTCCAAATTTAGCTCTACCAGATAAGGCAAAATCGGTCAAGAAAAGAGGGAAAAGAAGCAATTTTTGTTATTTTTGGAATAAATTTGCATAAATTACCATAATTAATTAATGGAGAACAATTTCAAAATTCTGTGTAGAAGTTTAGTGTACCAAAGTTAGCTCTACGATATAAAGCAAACCAAATCAAAATCGGTCGAGAAATAAAGGAGAAGAAGCCTTTTTTGTGATTTCGAATAAATTTGCATATATTAGCATAGATAATGAATTTCACGATTCTGTGTAGAAATTTTAAATCCCCTCCTACATGTAGCCCTATCATATGAAACAATCAGAATCAAAATCGGTTGAAAAATAACGAAGAAGAAGCATTTTGAAAATCTTAATGTTGATGCCACAACAAAGTCTAAGTTTGTTGACCTTAAATGGCCTTTGACCTTAACTTAGTGACCTGAAATTCTACTCACATGATTGGGGAGACTTGATAACCCTATAGTCCAAGTTTCATTGACTAAGAACTTATAATTTCAAAATTATATCAAAAATTCAAAAACTTAACCTTAGGTTAAGTTTTTGATGATGATGCTACAACATAGTCCAAGTCTGTTGACCTGAAATGACCTTTGACCTTGACTTTGTGATCTGAAATTCTACTCACATGATTGGGGATACTTGATTACCCTATAGTCAAAGTTTCATTGACTAAGAACTTATACTTTAAAAATTATACCAAAAATTCAAAAACTTAACCTTAGGTTAAGTTTTTGATGTTGACGCCGTCGCCGTCGCCGTCGCCGCCGCCGTCACCGGAAAAGCGGCGCCTATGTCTCGCTTTTTGCTACGCAGGCGAGACAAAAATCGTTTGCGACCTTTTAACCTTTCTTCACCACAACCAACTCCAAGGCCCAATAGCTCTTGTATTATTAAACATTACCTTGATTACATTGATCCCTTGTCAACGAAGAGTTGTTTCATCCCTCCTACTCTTCCAAGTAGCTGTTCAACTCGTTTAACATTTGATATGTGGTGGCCAGCCGAGCAGAATTGCACATACTGCCCATACTTTTGAAGAATGTCCAGTTCTTCTTCCTGTTGTTCTATTGAAGGCAAATAAAGCTAAATACGAAATTAAAGGTTAATTCATCAAGGAAAAGCTACAAATATAATCCAATTGTAGCTTTCAACATAAGCTGAAAAACATATTTGCTTTCCAGCTACAGTTGTAATTAAATTTATAAGAATATTGTAAAAAAGTATAATTCAAATAGATTCTATTATTCACCACTTACAATACATGTACTACATGAGACAATTTGTAGAGACTTCTGAATTTCTGTACACAAATACCATAATTGAAATAATGGCATGACATGCGCTTTGCTTTACTAAATACCAAACAATCTTTAACTGTATTCAACAGGAATTCAGTTTACTTTATTTATTTAAGTCATTAGAAGAAAAAAACAATCATATTCTCTTATCTTGGCTGTAAAAATCTCTTTATTTTGGTAAAAAAGATTTAGATAAATTTTTGTTTTTATATTGTCATGCACAAACATCAAAAATCCACTTTACAGTCAGACAATCAAGTCTTACCACTTTGTTTGTATGTATCTCATGCAAGAACATCAAAAATCTACTTTACAGTCAGATAATCAAGTCTTACCACTTTGTACATGTACCAGTATTTCTTTCTCTCCCGAATGTTTCCTTTTGTTGTGGTCCCACAAATTAGACAGGTTTTTAGCGGGACACTTGGGGCAGTCAGCCTTTTCCTCTCTTCTTTTTTTCCTAAGCGTTGAATAAGGACACTTTGTACGAAAAAACAAAACAGTTGTTACTGTGAACTATGCAAGATATATACAAGAACTTGTTAATAGACTTAACCGCCCCCCCCAAAAACAAAAAAAAAAAAAAACAACAACAACAAACAAACAAACAAACAAAACAAAAAACACAGATTTAAAAAACATGCTCTAAACAATCATGTCTACAGCATTGAAGAATTCCTACTCCAGCATATAACTATTCCACACTCACTGTTTGACTCATGTGATATTTGTACAAGTACATTGCTAAATCTGGAAAGATAGACCAATCGATGCACACATGCATGGACAAAATAATTATGGAAACATAAAAAAAAAAAAACATTTCTCAATTTCATGAATCCCCATATGAATTTATGAAAACCTAAATAATGAAACTATAAAAAAAAATCATGCAAATTAATCAAGTCATTATACATTATATCGGAATAATAATTATTCTTAGAAAATACATTGGGTAATTGCTCTAACGCGATAGCTCAGTTGGTAGAGCGGTGGTCTCATACTCCGGCGACCTGAGTTCAAAACCAAGTTGATGAGCTCGTGCCCTTTGGTAAGGCATTAATCCTCATTACCAGGTCCCTAGGAGAGAACCTAAATCAGTTGGTCCTCTGGTTGCTTACTACCAAGCATTCATGCTTTCTTAGCAGTCAGGTAAAATAACCACCACTAACACTAACATCTCTATTAGCTGTCTGTCCATATCAAACAGACATATGGTGTTGTTAAAGTGTATAGTGTGGTCAAACATACCTGGATCTTGCTTGATAAATATACTTCCACCGTTCCTCTCCATTTAGTCTGTGTTTCCGTTCAAGGTGCTTTGACATATCTGATGTTTCTTCTCGACATATCGGGCATCGTCTTCGTATGCGATTCCTTTTCCCTGAAGGTAATTTGTCATGGAAAGATGCAATTGTCAGTGAACCAAGAACCAATTCTAATTCATTACCGTATAATATATACCGGTACTGTGTTTAATTGTTTCAATTATTAAGCTAAATCATGCTACTACATGCATCTACAAACCCAACCCAATACTTAAGCAACGTTGGGTTGTCTGATATTATTTAATCAGTGACCTTGATTTTTAATCACTACACCGCATACAATTTTCTTTTATTTCATCTATTTACAGATGCTTTTTTTAAAGACTTATGCACCCAATGATGTCATTATTAGCAACATATTAAAGAGTTTGCTAGTTTGCTTCATAATAGCCTAGTAAGCTGCTGAATTATTAGTTAGTTTTCATGGCTATGGATGTTATCAACTGTTCGATGGGTGACTTTTGATGGTTATCATATTACAGATATTATAAATAAACTGAAATGTTATTTTCCTTCTCATGTATTAAACATCTTATATGGTACATTATTATCACCCTAGCACAGGGGAACTGTTCGAAAATAAACATGGACAATATTTTTATTATTAAAAAAAGATCAGTACGAACAATTAACTTTGCTGATTTTTTCGCTCGCATACTGATGGATATTTTCGTACTGACAACAAAAATATCGGATTTGTACTATTATTGTCTTGGCCTCTTCATGTACCAGCTAAACAAAGGTGATTTACCCAGTGTCTTTACTTCCATGTTCATAAAAAAACAATGCCGTCCACTCATCCCACCAGAAAAAATGATTATTTTCACCTCTTCCGCATCCGCATTGTATTTGCACTCAAAACATTAATCCATTTAGGACCAACATTTTGGAACACGCTGAACAAGGAGATAGAATCCCTGTCGTTGAATTGTTTCAAGCATAAGCTTAGGCAGTCCTTTTTTAATTCATATGACCAACATTGTAATTAAAGTAGGCCTAGTTATGATATTGTACATTGAACATTTCATGAATATTGTCGCCTCGGTACGACCTACACAGTTGGCCTTTTCCGACAATTATGTTCTGATGTATCGCGCCTGTTCTCGGAGGGCCTTCGGGAATGCGAATGTGCTCGCTGTTTCCAATTTTGTTTTTGCTGTTTTGGCTATATTTGCTTGTTTCACTTTGTATATCATCTTCCGTTAGGCCTTCTTGCCCACCTATTATTATTGTTACGTCCATCACCATTGCAACCATTTCAATCAAATGTTAGTTTTATTTAGGGCAACCTATAATCTACAAGCTGAGCTTTTTAATTGGTTCCTCACATTTCACCCTGTATAACTTGCTATTTAATACAATTAATTTTGACGTCTTAACAAAGAATTGATAATATATGTGATACTTTTAGTATATTTCATATCATATTCTAATTTTGTCAATTATGTGAATTCTAATTTCGTGAAATGTGAAATAAAATAAAATTGAAACTTGACCTTGAACTAGATACATGTATATTTCATAGTTTTGAATATCATACCTTTTGGATTATATTTCATCTTGACTAGGCCTCCTCCTTCTCCTCCTCCTTCTCCTTGTTCTTGCGGTTCTTGTTGTTGTTGTTCTTCTTCTTCTTCTCCTTCTCCTTCTTCTCCTCCTCCTCCTCCTCCTCCTCCTCCTCCTCCTCCTTTTCTACTGATTTGTCTTTGTCTCCCATGTCTGCCATGTTTTTGCCTGCCAACGCTGCTTTATACAGGTCTATTTCCTTTCCGCCCCTCTCTATATTATGCCTTGTATACGTCGGGAGGAATACCAACCACCAGCATTCTATTGATGTCGTCAGCAGTCTGCAGAAAGACATAGAGAAAGAAAATTGGTCTTTATAATAGAAATGTGGAAGTTCGCATAGACTAGACTAGAAGCTTCAGTCTCTGATATCAACGGTTTGTTCCGCTGAGATTACATCTGGCTCCTTTGAGTTTGACAGCCTCGATCTATACACTCCAGCAACATGATTTGTTGTCAGCCATCTAGCGCCAGTATTAATAGTAGAGTCTAGTCTAGATCTAGATGTAGTCTAGATCTATACTACACGAAATGAACCGCTAAGGGCTATGCAGACATGTACAAACTTTATAGTGACATGACGTGAACTAACTCCTCCGGGAAGCTCCAACACCGGCGCGACGCTTGCGGCGCCGGTGTTGGAGCTTCCCGGAGTTAGACGTGCGCGCACGAACAGGGCAGCGCATTGGCTTCACGAGAATGGTTACATGTACCGTACCTGTGACAAACTTTTCGGGTAGTTAAAAGCAACGTTTCTGTGTGAAGTAAATTACCTAAGTTTCAATATCACGATCATTTGTCGAGGCCATTATGGATAAATGAACTTGAACGTATCCGAAGACCTACGTTGCAGACAGACCATCGAAATCCAAGTTCGTTGAGACTAGACAGCCCAACGATGTACGGAGTGCCGCTGCATGTTTATTTTCATGCTATAATATAAATTATACTTTATTACATACCGCCGGTAAATATTACTTAAGACTTTACAAACCTCATCCAATTATTTTCCTAATTTAGAATTCAGTATCAATCGTTAACTTGACATTGTTATATTCCGCTCCATTAATTGAATTAAAAAATACAGAATTCAAGTCAAGAAGATTGCGCAAACGGTATTCCATAGTGAAGAGTAGACTGGTGAAGTTCTTTTCAACATAAAATACCGTCGACTTAGATCTAAGTCGACGACATTTGTTGTTGTTCTTGTTGTTGTTTTTTTGTTGTAATGGCAATCAGTCAAGACCTGACTATTATCACCAACGCCTTTCTTTTTAATATTAATTTCTTTCTTTCTCTTTTTTTTTTAAATAAGAGTATCAAAAATATAATTTAAATATAGGCTTCTCTCTTTTTTTCTTATTCTTTTTTTCCCCCCTTAAAATGAAATGAAAGAGAAAATAGATGAACCGTACTTATAAACAAATTATGCTATAAGTGCGCGCAGGGGCGTCGCTAGACCTTTTTCAGTGGGGGGGGGGGGGGTGTAGATCGAGGCCAACGATTACCGACAAAACTAGCCACCAATTACCGACCAAATTAAATTATTTTTCCTATGGACTATCTATATATAGTACTTGCGTATGCGCAAAATTAATGGTTATTTTCCTCGACGACATAAATACATGAATTATTTCGTCAACTTAGTAATCATAGCTATATTTTAATGCAGGCGCGGAGCTAGGATCTTATTTTAGGGAGGGGCGGAAGAGAGCAAGCGAATCACTTAAAGAGCGCGCGAAACGCGCTCATTAGGGGGGGGTGGGTGATAGGCCTCCCGCGCGAAGCACGGAAGTTTTGGCATTTCAACACAATATAGAGAAAGGAAGACGATTTATTGTACCGTTCTCGACTGTTAATCCTTGTCTAAGAAGTCCCCCCCCCCTCCCGCACGAAGCTCGAAAGCTTTGACGTTTCATTAAATTATGAGAAAAGCAGACGATTCGGTGTACTGTTCTCGACTCTTTATCCTTATCTGAATTCAGTTCTCCCCCTCCCGCGCGAAGTGCGGAAGTTTTGGCGTTTCATTAAATTATTAGAGAAAGTAGACGATTCGTTGAACCGTGCTCGACTCTTAATACTTTGACGTTTCATTAAATTATGAGAAAAAAGCAGACGATTCGGTGTACTGTTTTCGACTCTTAATCCTTATCTGAATTCAGTTCTTCCTCCCGCGCGAAGCGCGGAAGTTTTGGCGTTTCATTAAATTTTTAGAGAAAGTAGACAATCCGTTGAACCGTGCTCGACTCTTAATCCTTATCCGAATTCAGTTCTCCCCCTCCCGCGCGAAGCGCGGAAGTTTTGGCGTTTCATTAAATTATAAGAGAAAGTAGACGATTCGTTGAACCGGGCTCGACTCTTTATCCTTCTCTGAATGCAGTTTCCTCCACCCGCGCAAAGCGCGGAATTTTTGACGTTTCCTTTAATTATTAGAGAAATAAGACGATAGTACTGTCTCCACTCGTCTACATGAAGTTTTCCCCTCCCGCGCGAAGCGCGAAATTTTTGGCGTTTCAACACAATATAGAGAAAGGAAGACGATTTGTCGTACCGTTTTCGACTCTTAATAAGCCATATTTTTCTGAATTCAGTTTCCCCCTCTCGCGCGAAGCGCGGAAGCTTTGACGTTTCCTTAAATTATTAGAGAAAGAAGACGATTCGTTGTACCGTTCTCGACTCGTCTAAATTAAATCTTCCCCTTCCGCGCGAAGCGCGGAATCTTTGGCGTTTCATCACAATATAGAGAAAGGAAAACGATTCGTCGTACCGTTGTTGACTTTTAAACTTTGTTTGAATTTAGTTTCCCCGAAAATGTTAAACCTCTGATTTCTTTAGCTGATATTATAGGAAAGTGAAACTTTGAGAAAAAATACAAGTATTGTAGTTGTAGTCACTCTCGAAGTCGTCACAGCGGATAAAAAGTCACAGTTCGTAGGGAAAAAAACTTGTCAGCCGACCGACCGACAATATACATCTCACCGACTACAAACTTCTGCATCGATATTAGTACACGAGGATCGAGCAAGAACACCGACACAGCTGACCCGACACAGCAACATATTTGACCGTGTCTTTCTTGCTCCCTCGACGAGACGACTCCACCCAACAACCCCCTTCTCTCTTTTACTCCCACTCCTCTTCTCTCGGGCTCTTACCTCCCCTCTCTCTCCTCTCTTTCATCCGTTTCTTTTGTTTCCCTTTTACTCTTTTTTCTTCTTTTTTTTCCTTTTCTTTTTTTCCTCTTCTCTCTCTCTTTCTTCTCTTTTCTTTCCTTTCTTTTCCTTCTTTCCTTTCTTTTCCTTTCTTTCTTTTCCTTTTCTTTTTTCCTTTCTTTCCCTTTCCCTCTCTTTTTTCCCTCCCCTTTTCTATTTTTTCCCGACGGCAGCGCAATTTTACCGACAAAATCCTGACAGGTGGGGGGGGGGTGTCGCACCCCCCCCACACCCCCCCCCCCTTTTGGCGACGCCCCTGTGCGCGTCCATGAGAGTGAATTGACCAGTGACGCCAACTTATAGATAAATGACGTGGACTTAGGACGCGGACCTAGTATTTGACGACTGGTACTTAGTAATCCGTCTCTCTCTCTCTCTCTCTCTCTCTCTCTCTCTCTCTCTTTCTCTCTCTCTCTCTCTCTCTCTTTGTCTTTAATGTTATATCTTTTTATACTGTTATTTAACTTAGGGGCAGGTTCCCCCCAATACATAGCTTTGGTCAAAAATTCGTCCATTCAACCATTTTGGTTTGTTTGTTTTTATTTCTGCAAGTTCAAAAACATAATACAAATACACAAATTTATAAAAAGAAAACTAAAATACAATACAAGAGAGATAAAAAGAAGCTGGGATCTCATAATCAGCTGCAACAGTATATTGTTGCTGTTGGTCCTCTACAGGGCAAGAAAACTAAAGATACAAAATATATAGAATAATTTAAAAACACACAATTAAACATGTATATACAGTTTTACTACTACAGGGGAAAAAAAGAACTGCAGGTTAAAAAGGTACATTCCATTAACTTGAGAAAGAAAAAAACAAATTAAGGCTGTTTGTAAAAACTCCATTGGAGTAATTTCGCACATATTTAGTGGGATTTTATTCCAAGGAAGAGCATTAAACGTCCTTATGCAAATATTTGTTCTTGGTTTTGGCAAACAAATGAAATTTTTATTTTGAAGGGAATACGGGATCGGTTTCATTTTGAATATATCCTTCATAATCTGGAGCTTCATCATTAAAAATATTTAATATGAGTGAATAACAACAAATGAATCATTGGTTTTTCAGTATTCCAGCTCAGAATACTGTGGATATGATTATTGGAAGTATTTAAAGAAGTTTTTTATATTCAAAATAATACATGAGTTATTCGCCGATTGCCACACAACATCTCCATAGTCAAGATGAGGTAGTATTATAAATCAATAAAAGTTGGGACCTATCTACAAAATGCCTTAAACGTCTTTAAATAGTTTTACCATCCACCTGGTAAGTAATATAAGATTGTGATTCTTTTCGTGCAAAAATGAAAGTGTGGTATTGCACAACGAACATTATTACTAAAGTTAGTCTCTTCACGAGGCTCACGAAGTAAAATGACAATTCAACCATCAAACAATGATGTAATAATTAAAGCACTGGTGACCTTTTGTCCCAAAAAACATACCATGAAAGTACTTGCGATTGCATGTATTAATTACTAGAATGGGTTTTGTAATACACTGTTGCTCATAAAGTTGGAATATTTTTGTTTTATCCCAATTTATGCAATTATTTTAAAAATATTTAAAAAAATAATAGATCTAGATAATAGTATACATTCTCAGATTTTATTGAATAATAATTTGACAATGCGTGTTTTGCGTGACTGCTAAAGCATGTGAATGCTACTATGCTTATCTACTAGGGGACCTACGCTCTTAAGTCATAAATGGCAGTAATGAAGATTAATGCCCCACAAAAAGCCACTAATATAGCACATCGACACGGTTTTGATCCTGGGGCCTCACAGTTACGAGGCCATTGGTTTATCACTGAACCATGACTGTACGCAGCGGGGGCTAGGGTAGGGGGCAGTTTCCATAAATAAAAAAAAAACCACAGAAAATGCAATAAATTTTCAATAATTTATTGCATTTTACCCGCATCGACTTGGTTTTGAACCCAGGATATCCTGGATACGAGACCACTGCGGTAAATCAGCACAACCTCAACGCCAAAACGGAGACTAGTCTTTCATTCTGACCCTCGCAAACGGGTGTATTTTCGGGGGTCGCGCGATCTGTCTGGGATGCGTGTAAGGTTAACCCCCCCCCCCCCCCCCCCATATCTCCGGTGTGTCAGTAAGATACGGACCGGATTTTTAAAAGCAACCCCTTATCTCCGGTGTGTGGATTAATACCAGCCGGACTTTGTTGCTTGAAAAGTAACGTTTTTTACACGTTTTTTCCCGGGGGGGGGGCGGGGTCTCTCCCCACCCCATGGATCCGCCACGGGGGGGGGGGGGGGGTAAGGACATAAACTGATGATTGAAGAAAAAAATTACATATTCTGCCAAGAAAACTGAAGATTACCTCTCTATCGTCACAATTAACGTGCAACGCTGAAAAATCACCCTGAAAATCACTCTCAGTTCAGTACACTCAAATCATTCAAGTTCACGAACGATTTGCTGAATAAATTTTCTCTGTAAGCCTTATTAGCTACACGCTGCGATTTTATTGTAATTGTTTAATATCAAACCAAGGAATCATTTGTGCTCGTATGCGCCGGGGATCTCCCACTAACACCAGCACCAACATTATTGTCCAGGGTATTAGTAGGGGTTTCTCCTTCTGTCATACCGGTACTGCCCGGTCCTATCCTGTTCAGGAAGGTTAGCATTCCCTCAGGGAAGCCTAATGACTCCAATAATCCTCTTCTGAAGTATTTATTCTTGTAAACGTAGATGAACGGGTTGAGGCATGAATTGCAGAGGGCGAACACGACTGACACGTGATAGTAGGGTTGGGTGAAGTCTACGGGAGCACCCATATTGTAGGAAAAGAAGATGAATTGATTAGGAGCCCAGCAGATCATGTACGTGATGATGACAACCAAGAGTGTCTTCTGGATCTCATGGGCTGCTTTTAGTTGCCAAGCGTTAGCATCCTTCTTGGGCTTTTGACCTATCAATGATAGTAAATTCAAGGGGGGGGGGAGACAAAAATCGAATTATTTTCCGGCGCCTCGTTATACATACAACTTAACAATAAGGTACTGACATCGTTGCAAATTCATTGATTGGCTTTGATTAAATTTATAACAGAAATTATTAGCGCACACAGCACTTCAAGGTATAATCGTACCGAGTACCCATTATACTTCATATGGACCTGGGTCGAGTATGGCAGATGTAGGACGCTAATGCTGTCCCGGGTATTTGAACCTCATACCTTGTGGGCTATAGTCAGGTAAATTATCCACTCGGCTCAAACACGTGTGTCATATTCATTCATGGGCAAATGAAGAAAAATGTACAATGGTCGCAGACATTTCCCCACATCAAACTTTTAGAAGCCTAATAATCAAATGGGCCGTTTTCGTAATGTAACCAAATTTAAAGCATATTTGTGTATGTGAAGTGTCTCGATACCAATCATTTCATTCACTCGTTACGAATAATTATTGTATTTCAATAGTCAGCATGCGGTTTGCATAAATTAGTTGTTACTACTTAACATTATGGCTTGCTCTACCTCTACAACACGTAATAATATGCAATCATCTTATGGGCAAGTACGAGGTATTTGGCCCTTTTGTGTACCTTATGTTACCAAGTTCCTTGAAATATTGAACCTTATAAACATTGAAAACATATAATATTCTGCTTCATTACTCTAGTCCAAGCTGATATAATCGCGAGAAATACTAATTTTAAACCCTTTAATGATGTTGTCTGTGACGTATGGGGCAAATATCAAGGAACATGCCTCAGTGTTAAAGGGGAAGTCCACCCTGAAATTAAGTTAGTTTTAATAGGAGTAGAAAAATGAGAGAAACAAGTCAGTGAAAGTTTGAGTAAATTCCGATTAAAAATAAGGAAGTTAGGATTTTTGAAGTTGTGATCAATCAAACACAAATTGGCAACTCTATGACGTATCATGCGAGCTCAACTTCCATTTGCTCAGTACTAAAAAAATCTAAAATTTTCATTTTCCCTCAAGAAAATTTCAACCATACATGCACCCTAAATATAATAATTGCAAATATGTTTCTATACTCCCCCTGCAAGGAACAAATATTTATTCCGTCATCAATAACGAAGAAAACATGATTTTATGGAATATTATGCACAAAGCAAATGAAGGAGAGCTCGTATAATAAGTCACAGAGTTGCCAATTTGTATTTGATTGATCACAACTTCAATAATTCATAACTTTCTTATTTTCATTCAGAATTTGCTCAAACTTTCACTCACCTGATTTTCTTATTATTCTGCCTCTATCGAAACAAACTTATTTTGGGGGTGGACTTTCCCTTTAAGGTTAACAACTCTTCTAACAAAATGTGTGAGTTTGAGCAAACTTAATTAAGAAACCAAAGTATGTTCTAGCTCATAATGTGAGATAAGCTACACTGTTGGTCATAAAGGTGGAATAATTATTTTTACTCCAATTTATGGAATGATTTTGACAATGGAATAAATCATTGTCAAAATCATTCCATAAATAGGGGTAAAAATAATTATTCCACCGTTATGACCAACAATACATACAAAGATGCTTGCAACTTTAAACAGAGTCCGGTTACACATTATTATGGGCCTATACTCTTAATAGTGTTTGTTTTCCACTAATGTTTTTGTCAAAGATGAAAGGATCTGATATAGGAAAAATAGGAAAGTCTTTTCAATATGATATGATATCCCGACAGACTGAAATAGAAAAGGCAGGTGAACATTCATAACAAAAATGCAGGATTTTGAAAGCAAATATGTTGTGCTATCTTATGAAAGATAGCAAAATATTACTTACACGATCAATTCAATAAACTTGATTTATGGACAATTTTTTTCTCAATTATTGTATTCTGAATCATGTTATTAATATTATTATTATGGCACAGAATGAAATGTGAACATTTATTTGTAATTTTGTTTGTGTGAAAATTCGTTTGTAATTTTGAATGGAATGTGAGACTTTATTTGACAGGATAAAAACGCATGTAGCTATACCAGTAACATTATCTGACGCGGGGTATGGAAATAAGAATATACATGTACCATAATAATTATTAATCACTCTAATGCAGTAAATGTTTCAGTAAATTAAACGAAATAACTTGTGTATATCAGTAAGCATTCAATGGACCATACTTTCAAGTCATGTCCGAAGAACATTGTTGACTATTAATTGACAATCTAAGGGTTTCGAACCCGGGATCCTCTTCTGTAATTCCAGGCTAAGTTACATTAATAGACATGTGGCTCCTTTGTCTTATTTTATGCTTTCAGGCTATTTTCACCTTATTATCAGCCGAGACATTCATATTAACGAATTAACTCACTTTTTGCGTACTTTGTTATTCAAATTAAGTTAGGAGCAAATAAAAAGCTTTCAATGTCTTAATGAAGTTGCGGGCTCTGATTCCCCCTTAATGTTACGCCAATAATATTTTGAGAAATTAACTGATTGGAAACTAAATTGGCGTATGTTTAATCAAGAATGACTTATATATTTCGAAAACAATATCCTATCTATCTTGGTTTCTGTCATGAAATCGTAGTAAGGTCGTATAATATGTGCGATTGCTTTCATATTATAATATGACTGTTGCATTAAACATGACTTTTTTTTTGGGGGGGGGGCACATAGTTTGCAGGAACAAACCCTTGTCAGTCGTTGTAAATAACAGCGTCTGCAATATGAGACTACAATAGGCTCTGTAATTTAGCCACTCCGTCTTGTTTTGACACAGCCAGTACCCATAGAGATCTGGGGGTTACGGGCTGTGTCAAACAGGACGGAGCGGCTAAGTACAGAGTCTATTGTAGTCTCATATTGCTGCTCAAGGTTTTAGGAATTGTTGTTTAGTGCCAAATTAGAGTCTGTGATTGCAGACTATGGCACACATAGTTACTAGGAACATGGGGATGTTAGGCGGTTGATATATCCTCCCAGTATATTACCTGTTGCTCTTTTCTCCCGTCTTTCTTGTCTGAGAGACTCAAATTGTTTCTTGAGTGATGCAATCATTTTGTGATGACAGAAGAGAGTTGCCGCAATAGGTATGACATAGACCACAGCGAATGTAAACACACCTATGATGCGTTGAGATACCACCGATGGGTATCCAATGAACTCACACGACCCTTCTGTAGCATCATACAACCAAAAGAAGTAGATATTGGAGAGGAAACCGATGACCCATGTCGCTGCCATCATCATCGCACTCCATTTCTTAGAGAAGAAAATCTTGTACTTGATGGGGTGAACGACCGCGAAATATCGCTCTAGAGTGACGTTGACGAGACTATACACGGAGGCGAAGATGGTAGACCAAAGTGGGAATTTCGAGATGTAAAGCCGACATACGATCTCTCCATTTGTGTTATCAGCTACCCCCGGTGGATCGGGAAACAAATGGAATGGAATGGTCCAGGTAGAGGTCAAAAGGTCAGCAAAAGCGAGATGGATGATAAAATAACTGGTACGCGTGCGCAGTGTGGCGTTCCTGGAGAGCGCGAAACAGACGAGGAAGTTTCCTAGGATTCCCGTCATCGCGATGATGCCGTAGACGATGCGGACTGCGATGTTGTTTTCAATCCTGCCCACGCCCCATCCTTGACCACCTCCTCCAGGTGCCATGGTCGAGTTAATCGTCGTCATTGGTACATCTGGCGTCGTGAAGAGGTTCATTATATCAGCCTCCCTTGAATAGTTCTCCATATTATTGTCGTAGAGAGATGGTTTGTAGAAGAAACTACCAATGTATTGAAGTAAACGCCTTTAACGGAAACAAGAGTGAAAAATGAGGAGGTGAGAAATTATTATTATCATGCAATAGGCCATTTTCGTAATGTGATCAAATTTAATGCACAAAATGTATGATTTCACTCACCTTTTACAAGTGTACTTCAATAGTCAGAATGCGAATTGCATACATTCTATGTTTTTAAGTAGGACAAGCCACAATGTTTATGGTAATAGTGATGGTAATATTGACGATGAAGAAACCAAGAATGCTAAATGAAACCGATGCTCTCTGTGAAATGAATCCACAAGGAATATGGACATTTGGAGTTTCAATGACATACGGATCAAAGAAAACTTCAGGGACGATCATTCTCAAATTATGCTCTGATAGGCTCATTACTAGCATGACCAGCAGAATTATTCAAGTATCGAGGTTTCTCTTCGGCTTGTGTCGGAATTTTCATTCTCACAAATAGATGTAGATAGTGCGCGCGTGTGTGTGAGGAGGGGGGGGGGGGGGCTTTGACGACAGGCATTTGCATAGGTTCCTGCGGTTCGTAATTCCGAAACACAAATTTACCATACGTACCAAGGGCTTCATAATTTCCAAAAATGAAGTAGGGTTCGTAATTCCGGACATTATTGTTGCCTTATTCGGAAGGTTCGTGATTACGGAAGTGAAAGGGTTAGTTATTCTGAACGTTCGTAATTAAACAAAAAAACGATACAGTGATCTTTGTCATTTTTGGCGTTAAGAAACTTCAAAATTGAGAACCCTATTTCATTTCATTCGGAAATGTAAAACCTTGGGGTAAACGACATGTAACCCCTGTGACATCACCTTTCATAACAATTTTCGTCAGTATGTCCGTAAGTGCTGTTGACAGTTTGTATCTTTTCAATCTTTTCCACACATTTCAAACTCTTTTCATTATTTGCTTGTCGAAGAATTTGGGACAACCTTTTGGCAAATAAGTTCCACCCCCCCCCCCCCTATTTAAAAATGATTTCGCGGCGCCCCTTGCCTCACATATTTAGGCATGTGAGAAAACATATTATTGATGACAGGCGCGGATCCAGGATTTCTTAGGGGAGGGGGCCCAACTTTTTTTTTTTTTTTTGCTCCCGAAAATTTGAAAATCGCGCAGGCCGAAAAGTCACTCAGTGGGGGGGGGGGGGGGGGCAACCCCCCAAAAAGTTAAAAATCACGTGTTTTTACATGATTTTTTTTTCTCATGGGGAGGGGCCCGGCCCCCCGCCCCTCCCCCCTGGATCCGCCACTGATTGATGATATCATAAGACTGTAGAGATTATACAGAGTGACGATGTCCAGTATTCCCCCAAAAAACTTGCAATTAGAATCTTAGAGCCAGTATAGCATTTTTGGGAGAACAAGATACCTGTGGTTACCATTGATATATCCTTCCTGTCGTATATTTTCATAGCTTTTCATATTTCTGTAATATTCCCTAAACATCCCCATAAAGAATACGGTGCGCTATAATGACCCTTGGGAACAGCAATTACTATCGTAACCACGACAGTTTCATACAATTAGTGAAAATAGCGTATAGGCAATACAAATAAAGACGTCTGATGATAAAAATGTGGGATAAAAGGAACCAATTATGAGAAAGCAAGGATATGAGTGCTTCAAGGTAGACATTTTAAGTAGCTTTAAATCATATCGACGAGATTTGCAGCTGGGGATAGTACCATAACGATGATAATCACACTTTTCGTAAAATTCTTATCATCTCTTTGATCTGACTTTTCTGCCCTGACTTTTCAACTGCTAAACAGTTTTCATTTATATTCCTCCTTGAATAGTCCATCGCAATACATTAAAAAGCTACTTATATATCATATTGTTTTAAATCACAATTATGCTCCGCTTTTGACATTTACTTTGCAGAGAGAGAGAGAGAGAAAGAGATAAACATAATATATAGAGAGAGGGGAGAAAGGGAGAGAGAGAGTTAGGGATAGATAGTGTGTGTGTGCAGTGGCGGATCCAGGGGGGGGCCGAAACGGCCGCGGCCCCCCCCCCTATTGGCGGCGCAAAAAGGGGGGAAAAGAGGAAGAAAAGAAGAGAAAAAAAGAAAGGAGAAGAGGAGAAAAAAAGGAGAAGAGGAGAAAAAAAAGGAGAAGAGAAAAGAAGGAGAAGAGAAAGAAAAAAAGAAGAGATTAAGAGACGGGAATGGTACGACGAATCGTCTTCTTTCTCTAATAATTTAATGAAACGTCAAAGCTTCCGCGCTTTGCGCAGGAGGGGGGGGGGGGGAACTCATTTCAGACAAGGATAAAGAGTCGATGGCGGTACAACGAATCGTATTCTTTCTCTAATAATTTAATGAAACGTTAAGCTTCCGCGCAAAGCGTAGGAGGGGGAAACTGAATTCAGACAAGGATTAAGAGTCGAGAATGAAACAACGAATCATGTTCTTTCTTCTCCAATAATTTTATTAAACTATAAAAGGCCAAAGCTTCCGTGCTTCGCGCGGGAGGGCGCGGGGGATGGCTGAATTCAGTATAAGTTATAAGAGTTATATTAAGTTATAAGAGTCGAGAATGGTACAACAAATCTTCTTTCTCTAATAATTAATGAAACGTCAAAGCTTCCGCGCTTTGCGCAGGAGGGGGGGGAACTCATTTCAGACAAGGATAAAGAGTCGATGGCGGTACAACGAATCGTATTCTTTCTCTAATAATTTAATGAAACGTTAAGCTTCCGCGCAAAGCGTAGGAGGGGGAAACTGAATTCAGACAAGGATTAAGAGTCGAGAATGAAACAACGAATCATGTTCTTTCTTCTCCAATAATTTTATTAAACTATAAAAGGCCAAAGCTTCCGTGCTTCGCGCGGGAGGGCGCGGGGGATGGCTGAATTCAGTATAAGTTATAAGAGTTATATTAAGTTATAAGAGTCGAGAATGGTACAACAAATCTTCTTTCTCTAATAATTAATGAAAGGTCAAAGCTTCCGCGCTTTGCGCGGGCGGGAGGAAACTGAATTCAGACAAGGATTAAGAGTCGAGAATGGTACAACGAATCGTCTTCTTTCTCTAATAATTTAATGAATCGTCAAAGCTTCCGCGTTTCGCGCGGGAGGGGGAAAAATGAATTCAAACAAGGATTTTAAAAAAGGGGGGAAAAAGAGGAAGAAAAGAGGAGAAAAAAGAAAGGAGAAGAGGAGAAAAAAAGGAGAAGCGAAAAGAAAAGAGAAGAGAAAGGAAAAAAGAAGAGAAAAGAAAAGAGAAGAGAAAAGATAACGAAATTATTGAATAGAGGGGGGCCGGGCCGGCCGCATAAAATCTCGAGCCGCGGATTCAAAGTTAAACGTTAAGAACAGCCCCTGCGCTACAAAGGTCATCACTCTTTAGTGAGAAATTTGAAAAGGGCACAATATTTTGGGTGTCTTTTAAATGGAAGTTATATACTCAACAGTCAAATTTTAAATTAACGGTAGGGCCGCTTCACAACTCTTATTTTGCTCTTCATTTGGATTCAGCTCATACCAACTCGCTTGTGCTTGTATTTGAACTCAAGTTGGTAGTAATCATGGACAGGGGCGGCAATCCTGGGCCCGATAGCCCCCTATCCCCTATCCCCCAGGAAATTTAGAAATTTAGAAATTTAGAAATTTAGAAATTTAGAAATTTAGAAATTTAGAAATATTTAGAAATATAGCTAGAAAGAAATATAGCGGAAAGAACGTACATATTGGGCTCAGGGATTTTCTAAAATGAATAATTTCAGCATTCAACATTGCAAAATCTCGCTTGGTCGCTACGCCCCGGCCCACAGTGGGCCAGGGAGGAACCAAAGTGCGCCAAAACTCATGTTTGGGGATTTATTTTTTATAAATCCAGAGGAAATGTTTGGATTTCCAGGGATTTTCGCTTAAATTTTATTACCAACATTTTCTATGATGTCTACGCTTTAAGTTGATACCAGATTTGGCTGCCCGATTTTGCCCGTTATTATGTTAGAGCCGTTTTCCTTGCAACATTGCCCCGAAAAATGTGTTTAATTTGGTCCGCGGTGTCAGAACAAGTGTCACGCGCCCCCTCGCGCCGTGATTTATGACCACGAATCCTTCATGATTCAGCCGCGGACCCCAAAAACCCACATTTTTCGGGGCAATGTGGCAAGGGAAATCGGCTCTGCCTCTAACATAACAATGGGCAAGATTGGGCAGCCAAATTTGGTATCAACTTGAAGCTTAGACATCAGAGAATATGGTGGTATTAAAATTTAAGCGGTACATCGCGGAGATCTAAACATTTCTTTTGGATTTATAAAAAACATGGATAATTAGTCCAACTTCAGCGAATTACCCTTTAATATATCATGAAGATTGTGTTTCTATTAATTTTAACCCATTCATTCAACGAAATGAACTATCAGGAATATGTGAGAGCAATTTCATATCAATAACTTAAAAATTCATGTTCAATTGAAAGATTTATAAAATAAGTCACTTTTGCACTAAAACTGTGAATATGTAGGATTTTGCTGTTTGAAGTAGTAAATTTATACCCTTATTGTGCATACCGGAATTAAATATTTCACTGATATTCCTCTATGTATTACCTTTCAACTGGGCAAGAAAAAAATTCAAAAAAAGAAATCACCCAAAATTAGTTTTGGCGCACTTTGGCTCCTCCCTGGCCCACTGTGCGGCCCTCGCCCGATAACACAGAAGTTTACGCGCTACGCGCGGGCCGGGAAAAACTGAATTCAGACAAGGATTTAGAGGCGAGAATGGAACAACGAATCATCTTCTTTCTCTAATAATTTAATGAAACGTCAAAGTTTCCGCGTTTCGCGCGGGAGGGGGAAAACTGAATTTAAACAAGGATTAAGAGACGAGAATGTTACAACGATTCGTCTTTTCCCTTTAATAATTTAATTAACCGTCAAAGCTTTCGCGCTACGCGCGGGCATGGGAAAACTGAATTTAGACAAGGAGTCGAGAATGGTACAAAGAATCGTCTCCTTTCCTTTAAAATTTAATGAAACGTCAAAGCTTCCGCGCTTTGCGCGGGAGGGGGGCGGGAACTCAATTCAGACAAGGATTAGGAGTCGAGAATGAAACAACGAATCATGTTCTTTCTCTAATAATTAATGAAAGGTTAAAGCTTCCGCGCTTTGCGCGGGCGGGAGGAAACTGAATTCAGACAAGGATTAAGAGTCGAGAATGGTACAACGAATCGTCTTCTTTCTCTAATAATTTAATGAAACGTCAAAGCTTCCGCGCTTTGCGCGGAAGAGGGAAAACTGAATTTAAACAAGGAATACGAGTCGAGAATGGTACAACAAATCGTCTTCTTTCTCTAATAATTTAATGAAACGTCAAAGCTTCCGCGCTTCGCGCGGAAGGGGGGGGGGGGGGGCGGGAACTCAATTCAGACAAGGATTAAGAGTCTAGAACGGTACAACGAATCATCTTTCTCTAATAATTTAATGAAACGTCAAAGCTTCCGCGTTTCGCGCGGGAGAGGGAAACTGAATTTAGACAAGGATTAAGAGTCTAAAACGGTACAACGAATCATCTTTCTCTAATAATTTCAATTTAAACTATAAAAGGTCAAAGCTACCGCGCTTTGCGCGGGAGGGGGGAAAACTGAATGCAGACAAGGTATACGAGTCGAGAATGGTACAACAAATCGTCTTCTTTCTCTAATAATTTAATGAAACGTCAAAGCTTCCGCGCTTTGCGCGGGAGGGGGAACACTGAATTCAGACAAGGATTAAGAGTCTAGAACGGTACAACAAATCGTCTTCTTTCTCTAATAATTTAATGAAACGTCAAAGCTTCCGCGCTTTGCGCGGGAGGGGGAACACTGAATTCAGACAAGGATTAAGAGTCTAGAACGGTACAACGAATAGTCTTCTTTCTCTAATAATTTAATGAAACGCCAAAGCTTCCGCGCTTCGCGCAGGAGGGGGAAAACTGAATTCAGACAAGGAATACGAGTCGAGAATGGTACAACAAATCGTTTTCTATCTCTAATAATTAAAGAAAGGTCAAAGCTTCCGCGCTTCGCGCGTAATGGGGGAGGGGGATGGTAGCGAGCTGCCCGAATATGAGTTTTTGATATCTTTTCTCGTTTATTTTGATGATAAATAACACTTTCACAATATTATGCTCTAATTGTTGCTCGCTCCCTTCGCTCACTAGTGAAACCAGAAAATTACTTTTACGGGCAAGAGGCTATAGCCCCCCCCCCCCCTGGAAATATCAAAAATTGTACCGCTATATTGGGCCTCTAATATGACCTTGCTGCGCAATTTTCAAATTTCCGGCCCCCCCCCCCCCCCCCCCTATTGGAAATTTCTGGATCCGCGCCTGCTGTGTGTGTGTGTGTGCGTGTGCGTGTGTGTGTGTGTTTGTGTGTGTGTGAGAGAGAGAGATAGATAGAGAGAGAGAGAGAGAGAGAGAGAGAGAGAGAGAGAGAAAAAAAAAAAGATACAGACAAGTGCATGGGGAAAAAGCTTATTCTACTGCGAATAAAATATGTAGTAACTTACGTCTCCGTCCTGTTTTTCCTCCTCGTTTTTTATGTCACTATCAATTTAGATAACCATTCAAAGCGATTTCATTCATGATATAAACCTACTCTTTTTAACTTCATCTCCTTCCGTTTTTACGTCCCTGAAATTCAACTGTTGTTGGTCAAACAAACAGAGCGATCCAAGCTGCGTGCCTACCGGTGAGGTTTAGGCGGGATTAGCTGTCGTGACGTTTACTCAGCTTTGCCTCTTACGGCGAGGTGTCAATTTGGTTTAGGGCTTCTTCGACGGACAACGAAATCTAGACGACCGGATATAGGCGGAATGAAAGTCGGAGCACGGCTTCAAATAAGAAGTCAGTCTCTGATATCCAATTCCCTTTTCCGACACGGCTTGTGTATGTTTTGGGTCTTTCCCCTTCGTCTAAAATCAACCTGCAAGGATGAGATCGAGGGAAATTATTTTGACTATTGTGCGAGTCAGGATAGTCCCTATTGTCTATCTAAAGAATGAGGTTTATTCTTGTTGTACACAAAAAGACTGTGTAGGTTACAGATGGCAAATTGGAGATTTCTTGCAAAGAAAGTATTGTAAGAATAAGATTTCATTAAACTCAACATTAGTAATGACGTCATTTTGTTGCTAATTAAGTTAATAAATTCATTTTAGTGACCATGTATATAATATATATATATATTTTTTTTTTTTTTTTTTTGGGGGGGGGGGGTAATTTTATGATTGCCATTGATGATCTTAAATTCGAAATAGGCCCTACTTTTCTTTTTCAAAAGTCTTTTAAAGCATATTCATAATTGTTATTGTTATTCTTATATGGTAAATCGTTCCACTCAAAATGGTCAGGCAACACCTGTGTAAAGATATATCACCAAAAACATCCCAAAGACAATAATAACGATCTCTCAAGAGTATACAAGTGACAGAAATAGCAAAAACTCTTACCTGATCATAATAATATTAATGTAAATTATATAGGTAGCACTAGAATAGGTATATAACAGTATACTCAAATGTTGCTGAAGCAATATACTTGAATCATACTGGGGCACCCCTCCCCCTCCTTATTACGCCTGCTCTGATGCAACTAACAGTTATCACACATGTTTACTTAATGTCAAAGAACACAATTGGAATATGATGCCATCGTCATAACTATTCCCATGTACATTGTGCACACAATGTGTTTCTACGAATACTGCTTTCTATCGGAGTCACACCGATGAAAATACCGATTGAATTTTCCTTATGTAAACAAAGGTGAAACCGCAGTTTTCCCCCTGTCGCTTTCTAACTGCCGGTGAAATTCACTCGCTGGGGCGAGCCCTTGCCGGAAGTGAAGAATTATTGCGTAATAATTAAGCCCGCGCTCCATCTAGCTAGCATGCAGCATGTTCAACCATAAGTCAACAAACACAGCTGGTTACGATAAAGCGCGCGTATACTGCGACCTTTGACCATTTTAATCGCTGTTTAAATCGCCTTTTTCTCCCGAACGCTTTCTAACTGGCCGTGTCATCGGTGTCACACCGATAGAATGAGAATTTCTCCTGCTCTTGAGCAGGAGAATTTAATCGGCTATTTAATCGCCTTTTTCTCCTCTGTTGCTTTCTGGCCGTTTTATCGGATGCGTCCGGATGCATCCGATGAAAATCAGTGCAGTTAGAAAAGGGTATAAGGAAGCAGTTGCATAAAAAAAAATTGTTTGTAAATGATATTTTGGTAAGTATTAGCCTAGACCTTGAAAAGGGGCAACATATACTTAAAGGGTTCAATTGTTATATACATATGTACAACAACAGAATATATTACAGGATAGTATAAATTACTGGTTAATATGAAAAAATTTATGCATGTAATCTAGTAAAGTGATTGAATGTACACTCTTAAATAACATTAAAAATACAATTGTATTTATAGCTGACAACACATTATATGAAATCATTCTTTAAGTTTGAAAAGCATTATATCGTCCTACATTCAGTGCTAAGAAAATTTTACCTCATTGGGAATCGATAATGCAAGATTGTTTGAACATGTATTTAAAGGTGTCAACAGAGCTTGCCATTCTCAATGATCTGTCCAACTGATTCCATGCTATAATGGAAGAAAAGAGGGGGCTATGTTTAAAGCATTCTGTTTTATACTTTGACACAGAAAGTAAACCTTCAACTGCCTGCCTCGTATTATGCTGATGGATGTCACTTACTTTAATTAAACTTTCTTGTAAATAGGATGGCGCCAAATGATGTGTGCATTTGTACATCATACAAACACGCTGAAATTCAAAACGTTTCTCAATTGGCATCCATTTCAGATTGCTAATCAATTTTACTGAAGTCTCGTAACTTTTGTTTGAAATTATTCTAGCAGCTCGTTTTTTAATTTTCTTGAGTTTATCCGTTTGTTCCTAATACCGATTTGACCACACAGAGGAACAATAATCAAACCGCAATATATCAAATACTCGATGTTAGAAAAATAGTCGCTTACCATTGACTGTCTTGGTCGGATGAATGTGTGCAATATGTGCTTGCAATGACAAGTGGAGGCATATTAAAGTGTTGTTTTTTGCGTGTGTGTGTATGTGTGTGTGTGTGTTCGACACAAATCGATTTCATTTACGGATGTCCTGAAAGAAACACAATCCCTGATACCGTCAACATTTATCGACATGTGACTAGAAACAAAATGGATTGGAAGCGAATTGTCGGAAATGTGTATGGTTATTGTCTGATGGGGTATAATGATCTTTGTGACGTAGAGTGATTTTTTACGATCAACAGATGGAGGTAGGCTATATAACGGAAGTTGGATGTATCCTGAGTGGACAATCATTGTAGGCTACCATATACTGCGATATAGCACCAGGGAGAATGCCGTGGTAGATGACAATCTCCTCAGTGGAAAAGCAAAGAGGTAGATTAATGCGAGAGACAAAGAGAGAAAGGAAGGTGAAAAGAACGCAAGTTATAATATATACGAATCCATATCCCTCGTATTTCGTACAGTTAGTAAGATCAGTGCAACCATCACCCCCCCCCCCCCCTCATATTTTGATATTCGCTATGCCATTGATACAACTTGTGCATGGGCAATATGTCACGTACGCATAACTGATCGTAGTACACCCGGATCTCCAATTATTATTACTCTTCATATGAATTTGTTGACCCCTGTTTTCTTAAAGACCCTGTCGGAAGTGAAAAATATAATAGATGAAGTATATACACTGTTGGTCATAATGGTGGAATATTTATTTTTACCCCAGTTTAGGGAAGGATTTTACAAAAATTATTTATTTCTAATAGATCTAGATAATGGCATACATTCTCAGATTTTATTGAATATTAATTTGCGAGTGTTTGTTTTGCGTGATTGCGTAATCATATGTGTGCTACTATGCTAATCAGCTAAGGGACCTAAGTCCTTAAGTCATAATTGACAGTAATGAGGATTAATGCCTCACAAAAGGGCACTAATAAAGCTGATCGACACGATTTTTATCCTGGGGCCTCACAGTAACGATGCCATTGCTTAGCCCCTGAATCGTGACTGTACGCAGTGTTTGCTAGGGTACGCGGCCCCTTCCACAAATCCCCCAAAACGAAGAAAATGCAATAAATTGTCAAAAATTCATTGCATTCCCCCCGGCCCCCAACAGGAAAAATTCCTCTGTATGGCCACGCATTATGGTTCAAGGCATGGCCACACAGAGGGTGATAGATACAGCCCCCCCCCCCCGCCCACCTCGCCATGAATGATTAAAAGAGGGGGACATGGGAAGGGAAGGGAATTAGCGATAGGTATGGAAAGGAAAAGGAATGCAAATGAGATATGAATCAATTAATAAATCAATATCCAACCCCAGACCTTCTACCCCTAGCTCTCTCTTTTTCAACCTAGCGTAGGAAAAGAACCCTCCCTCTCCCTTTAACAAGACCAACGATGTGCCAATAATTAAGAGCATTATATTAAAAAAAAATGTGCTTTCATTCGTATTTCCGCAATGGTACAAGGACTGAAAATATAGGAAATCGAATGATTGAGACCGGTTTTCCGGCTTTGTTTTTCTCTTGCCTGTAGGTTTTTTGTTATCATGATGCTCTATATCATGTCGTGTTGCTTTTAGAAGGAAATAATGTTACCAGACCTCAATCGATATACCTTTATCTTAGAATGAATGAATTAGTTCACTAAAATTGTAGGTCGTTAGATTTCGTGGAGGCAGTCATGAAAGTTTAGACATTTTCAGAGTTGTTGTATAGAGTCTCAGCAAATCGAGAAGATCTGCTCAATTCTACATTTAATTAGAGATTAAAAACAGAAAAAAGAGAAAAGAAGAAGAAAGAAAGAGAAGTATATCGTACGCCCTAAGCGCTTTTATAATAATATAATAATAATAAAGTTTTATTTACCCAGGGTAGCCACTTCAGTTATAAAACTGTTCTTCCAGCGGGCCCTGCATAACATAATATGTTATTACTACCCTTTTCCAATCTAATATGCTGAGCGCCTAGCTAGAAGGCAGAAGGTCCCATTGGTGTAAGTCTTTGGTATGACTTGGCCGGGGTTCGAACCCACGACCTCCCGTTCATGAGGCGGGCGCTCTAACCACTGAGCCACAAATGTCTGATTTTCATGGCTCATCTGAAAAGTGAATGATTTTTCCCCTCCGTTTTTAAACTGTATAATTCTCGCACTATTTTCTCACGACGTCTTCAAATCGACAGTATGTGTTATTTTTTTTCTATAACTTGCATACTATTCTACGTGTTGCTCCATCAGATAAACTATATAATGCCAGCACTTCGGGCAGATAAAAAAACTGCCTGATCAACTATTACTAAAGTTTACAGGTATGGTGACAATGGAAGTATAACATAAACCAGTGACCTCATTATTTCCTCCCTGACTTCCTAGCTCCGGGAGAAGCGGAATTTCAGCATGGTCGATCATGACAATTACATGATTACACGTCGCACTGCATCGATTAAATGAAGACATACACTGTCAAATAAAGGGAGTTATAGGCCTAAACTCCATGCTTATGACTGATGATGATCAATATACGCCAGCTTGCTTATTACCAAACTCTTTCTCGCCACCACGCACGTACAGCCATACATCATCATGACAGCGACTTACCGCATCAATTTGACAAATCTACACGAATTCGGTCAACTGCATCTTGTGAAAATATGGGCGTTTGAATAAGGGATGGCCTCAATATATCTCCTTTTATGTCTCTTTAGTGCTTCTAATTGATTACTTATTTATTAGAAATGCTCAGGCGTAAGCGACGGGTTGACATTTCATGGGCAATGAGTAATACAAGTAGGCTACATGAAGCTAATACACTGTCCATGCTGAGAATGTATTTATCTTTATTATCGTCTCATAAAAAAACGGGGGCTTGAAAATGTCTTTAAGTGGGAAAATAACGACTATTAGTTGTCGAATCGACTTAAAAGCTATAGAGCCAGTAAGTTATAGTCTGATTCTCAGACCATTGTACCGAATGGTCGTACGTTTTATGCTGCTCAAAGATTCAATCAATTTAATTTTGGCCATTACAAGAAGTGGGTTATTGATGTAGACAAATGATCATGTACCCTTTACAGCTCATTTTATGTATATTATTACCAAAGAAGAAAAAATGCCAGTCAGTAACTCAATAGTGTCTGACAGTGAAGTCTATCAAGTAAACGGATTTCTTTGCATAATTTGAATATTAGGACACTGCTAACGTTTAAATGTCACAGATAGGACATACATGACATATTCATAATTCCTGCAAAGTTCTACAGAATTTTATGTTGGCTGCAAAAGGGACATAGTATCTTTAAAGGCAGGTGGCAATGGAAAAGTAAATTTGTAAAAAAAGGCAGTGAAAATGTCTTTCTATTGTTAATACATCATATGAACATGAGTCAAAGTCTCTCCTCCACTTTCGAAAGTCTACTCTTATTCTTGGCTATTCTATACTCTTAATCTTTGTTGGACTTAATGAATACCTTATAACCATCCATATCAGGGGAGGTCCCTCTGAACATGCAATTATAAGAATTTATTATCTTTTACCCCAATTTCTTTCCTCAAAGAGAACAAGAATATAATTATTGTTGTTAACTTTTTTATTAATAATTTTTATAATTTCATCCTTAATAGGCAATCAGTTGTTTCAGAAATTCTGTTACAGAAAAAGCAATTTTGAGAGTCTTTCTTTTAACCTTTGATTACAAAATCATTTAAAGCAATTGCATTATGAAAGATCTTGAAATAAAATGACCGAAGGCAAGTATCAATATCAATAGTACATTTAAAGTTCATCAAATTAATTTTTTCCCAGTTCATAATTTCGGTGATAAAAAAGTAGACGGCGATCTTAATTAAAAAGAATCACGGATAACAAAATAATCTAAAACACGTAAATAAAATGAATATCATAAACAAGTCAGTAATAATCTTGCATTGAAAATAATTCCTGAACATTTTCAAGGTATATGGTGAGATGAAAGCACTCTGACTGCCGCGAATAATTTAACGGATTTTCCTTTTGCTTTCGGTTGATGTCGAGCGACGTACACGCAGTATTATACAATTTCTTAAGGAATTATCAATATTAAATGGTATGTTTTATTGTACATTTTAAGCAGTTGCATTATGAAAGATCTTAAAATAAAATGAGCGAAAGTACATTTAAAATTCATCAAATTAATCTTTTCCCAGTTCATAATTTCGTCGATAATAATGTTGAAAATCACGGATAACAAAATAATCTAAAACACGGAAATAAAGTGTATTACAATTTACATAAACAAGTCAATTATAATCTTGCATCGAAAATAATTCCTAAAAGTTTTCAAGGGAAATGGTAAGAGGAAAGCACTCTGACTACCGAGAATGATTTAAAGGGGAAGTCCACCCTGAAATTAAGTTAGTTTTAATAGGAGTAGAAAAATGAGAGAAACAAGTCAGTGAAAGTTTGAGCAAATTCCGATTAAAAATAAGGAAGTTAGGATTTTTGAAGTTGTGATCATTCAAACACAAATTGGCAACTCTATGACGTATCATGCGAGCTCAACTTCCATTTGCTCAGTACTAAAAAAATCTAAAATTTTCATTTTCCCTCAAGAAAAATTTCAACCATACATGCACCCTAAATATAATAATTGCAAATATGTTTCTATACTCCCCCTGCAAGGAACAAATATATATTCCGTCATCAATAACGAAGAAAACATGATTTTATGGAATATTATGCACAAAGCAAATGAAGGAGAGCTCGTATAATAAGTCACAGAGTTGCCAATTTGTATTTGATTGATCACAACTTCAATAATTCATAACTTTCTTATTTTCATTCAGAATTTGCTCAAACTTTCACTCACCTGATTTTCTTATTATTCTGCCTCTATCGAAACAAACTTATTTTGGGGGTGGACTTTCCCTTTAATTGATTTTCCTTTTGCTTTCGGTTGATATCGAGCGACGTATATACAATATGTGCGATTTCCTAATGTATTGGTGGTACGTATCATATTATTCACCTTTCCTTTCTTTATTTTCTCTTCAGTTCATTCCTTGTGGAACAGATATCTCAAGAATCGTAATGACATTTTCCTTTAAATTTCTCACAATGGTAGACCCTATTGCGGACTGGATATACGAAATTTTGCAAGGTCATTTGCATCATGTGACGCCATCTAGGCGCCATATTGTGAATTGTGCGTAGCCTATCTCTAACCAAATGGCATAACAATTTCATATTTCAAATCATGATACTATGTCTTCATCTTATTGCGCAGAATATCAGCATATCAAATGCACGCGCGGACGTACACAATTTCGAGTAACTGGTTGACACCATCTACGTCTTCTTTTGGACAACTGCACGTAAACGAATAGACTTGATTAACTGGGTCAGCGCGCTAGCGTTCGCGAAACAGACCGAAGTTCTCCTCACGCTTCGGTTTCGCGTATGTTGCACGAACGCGGTCGCATCGTCCGTAGTGGTATGGCCCCGAGCCCGCC